TTCCTCTGCTGAGGCTTTCACTCTGACTCTGGGTACGCACCAAGAGAACTTGATATTTCTTGGGTGAGTATGTTATAAAAGAAAACAAACTACATTGGACAGGTCCCAAGCCAGAGAATCTGAGATTGTGCTCACAGAGGAATGACAAACATCAAGACAGGATGTCCTCCTTCCTCTTCTTTGAAATAAATACACTTTAAAAATAAAAAGTCTTTGGGATTGTGCATGGGAGGTAAGCAGGCCGGTGTCCTCCAGGATGCTGCAAACAGCAGCTACTTGCAGCCAGCATTAACGTGAATGAAGAAAATGTATCGCTACTTCACCTTTTTGGGCTTCGGCAAAAACTATGAGCACGAATGGGCTGAGGCTTTCCCTAGCCAGGACCTTGCATCACTTTGTTTCCACTGCTTTTCAGCAGGGCTTATGTCTCTACAAGCTAAACCACATGGCCATGTCACCTTCTCTTACCAGCAACATGTCACAGCATCCTGCCCACATTCCCTCTGGGCTCCCAGCATCACCTCATGCCAGAAGCATTTCTGTCTTGGAGGCAGGGCAGAGAAGCTTGAGGAACTGAGCCCTGCCTGCTTCTAGTGATTCAGGCAGAGGCTGGTACCCATCACTGAAGAGCTCTCGTGGGCCAGCTAGAAGCTGCCACAACTTGCCATTCATGGCTTTTTGCAAGACTCTCCTGCAGGTTTTGAGCACAGCTTCACTCCGGTGGAAGCAGCCAGGAGGGTCTCCTGGCTTTGATGTAAAGTGCCGCAAGAACTTGTCCTCTCCTGGCAAAATGAAGAGCTTGCTTCTGTGCGTGCCTCTGCTCTAGCTCTAGTCTGGTGCCTTCTTTGGCAGTAATTGTGATTAAAGAAAGGGTGCTAATTAAATTCTTCTCGTAGCAGGATTCCCTTAGAATGTGTTGATCCCCTGACAATGTTTCTACTGGAATAATGAAGAGGCTCCAGGGTTACATTTGTAGGAGTTGTGCAAGTGGAGAGAGTATTGAGGGCTATATTATTCAGATGATGATAACTACTCTTTCCTGTGCCTGTACTTGGTTGGGCCTTATAATAAACTCCCATCTGGCCAAAACAATTATTTTCCCCTTTTCCTGCATGGGAATTCAGCTTTTTGTCAGTGCCACCTGCTTCTCAAGAGCAATTTGGTGTATAGTGTCCAGTTCGAAGAAATCACGTACTGGCTTTGTGCTGCACCCCTACGTATCAAGGGTTTGCTCTTTCTTTGAGAGAGATGGTGCTCCTCAGGAAGCAGACACTGGTGCCTGCGGTGAGATTTCTGAACAATGGCTTGCAGTCACTTGCGGCCGCATCTGTTCCAACACAGCATAGCTCTCTGCTTAAGGAAAATTCTCAGGCTCTCTACGACTGCGTCGCACATGGGTTTGTTGCAAATCTGCACTTCAGAGAGCAGCAGGGCATTCGTCCCACCATGGGGACACCACCGCCAGAATCACCTACGAGGGACTAGCACGAGGTCCTGCCTTGCACTCCTGACTCCCGTGTTTCCTGGTGCAGAGGCCTTATAAATCCTTACATGTGTGTTTCCTAAGTAGCTTGAAGCTGCCAATATTAACTACTCATTTCTAGAGAGTCCAAATGTCAGCACAGGAGGAGGTAAGTGCGTGCATGACAATGGGGCAGTTTTAGTAGCAAGCGTAGATTTAAGCTTCTGAGTGGGTTGTGTAGTATGAAAAGGGGAAATGCAACGTCTTGGCATGTTGGGAAATATTCAACCGTTGTATTTCTGCCCAAGAAGCAATAGCTGAGATTTGAGTTACTCCTCTGCAATCTACTAAATGCTGTTCCCCAGTTAGCCTAACGCAGGCGGCAGGTAGGGTTTGTCTGACCGCAGCGGGCTGGAGGTTCAGTTCAACACAACTGTTTTAAACATCTGGGACTCCTAGCCAGAGTGGGAAGTCCTGAAAAGCAGATGGACAGGACCGGTAATCTGGTTCTCCCTGCTCATAATTGACCTAATTGGTGTGGCCATATATCAAGTGTTGTTTTTGAAAAAAGAACAAGCGATCATTTGCAAAGATTAAAAATGTGCCAAATTTTTTGCATGCTTCTGTCAAAAGCCCATGAGTCTATAACTTGCTGCAGAAGGGAACATCTGTGTCTAATTGATGAAACTCAGCCTTCATAATGGATGATTCAAACGAACTAAGCAGTTTTGTCAGTCGTTCAGTTATGGATTATAAATTAATCAGAGATCCTTCCCCCCCCGGATCTGTCTTGCATTTCCTGTCCCTCGTGGGTTTTTTTCCCTGGTCTCAGAGCAAGTCTTGAATCTTTTCGGTCTCCCAAGCCATAATAAATGAACAATTCCCTCACTGCCATGACCTTTCAGCCATATTTCTGGAATGCACACATTGCACAAATCCCGCCCTGCCCGGGTTCAGGGATGCAGGGTACCTGTTGGGATTCAGCTAGATATTGCAGCCAGCTGGTGGCCACGTGGCTCGTAGGGGAGCGAGAGGCATTTGAGTTTGAATCCAAAACTCCTCGGATGTGCACAGAGTCTGCGAGATATTTCTCTCCAAATGATGCCAGATTCAAGTGAAAATGCAGGCAGGAAAGGGAGCCTATCCCGAGAGCGGGGGCGAGGGATTTATGGGGGATGCACTTACCCATTCAGCACTTTGGTGATTAATCCCCCAAGATCCGCTGAACTGATGGCTGCTGCTTTTGGGCGTTAACAGAGTCTTCTGGTAGTAGAGGTGGGGCTGTGAACGCCTCCAAGCGCCTTCTCAGTGTCTGAAAAAAGGCAACTAGATCAGTTCACATATTCCTCAAAATAAAAATCTCAACCCTGAATCATGGCTAATTTAAGGAGGTTTGGGCCGATCTGTAATCCTCCCACATCCAGGAGTACCACCCTGCAATAGCAACAGTTCTGGTGCACATTCTGGCTCTAAAACTGGGTACATATTTTAGTTGAAAAGTTAGGCATTATTTACTGTTTCTTGCTATGCAAGTGTCTTATTGAAAAGTGAGCTCAAAAGACTAGCGTGGGACAAAGGCAAGTCTGCACTGATATTCTGGGACGGAGAGAAGGAATATGAGGGAGGTCACAGAAGAGCCCCCTTTGCTTCTTCCAAGTGGAGGAGCGATCCTCTCCCTAAGGAAAGAGGAGCGTATTCCCTGGAAACCAGCTAGTTTTCAGTAACATCCAAGTGACAACAAATGTGTCTGTAATTCTGATGTGAATTAGCAAATGGATCTAAATGTTTGGATCTATATAACATAAATTGGCATAAAGTTTTGCTGTTTTCACCTGGCTTTTTACCATGAGTTTACTAATTGAGACTAAACCCCCAAATTTTACCTCCTAGAGAAAAGATCAGTAAATTTCTATTAATTTATTTTGGTATTACATGCTGTGGGGCTCCTAAGGCATCAGACAGAGAATAGTATGTTTTCGGCACATGAATGTGGTTTCTTTTCCACTTGAGACTTCAAGCCATAGTCCAGCCCAGGTGCCTTAAATGAGAAGCCTGTAGTTTATTCCACTATAATTAACATAAGCTTTGATTTAAACAACACTTTTAAAAGTCAAAGATTGGATTTCAAGTTGAATACAGAATACAATTTCCACCCACGTTGCCTTTTTGGTCCTTTTCTATTGCCATCCTGCCATCCACCCTGAAATCACTCAGAATATGAAAAGCACCTGCTGCAAAACAAAGTTCATGCCTTGCAGAACAGTTCTGGCTTTTTGTTTTTATTTCAGGGTTTCTAACATTTGGCATTGCATTTTTTTTTTCTTTCCATTTCAATATGAGCCAAGGGGAGGGACTAGGAGGAAAAAAAATCTGGAGTATTTTGATCTTTGTGGCTTTATATGGACTTCATAAGCTTTGTTTGTTCTACTGCCAAGCTTCCTTTGTGTTTAAATAGATAACAGACGAAGACAACTAATCATTTCCAATAAAAAAACCCACCAAACCCAAAGCATTCCCTTTCTTTTCCAATTAATTCTTGTAAACCCGTGCTCCTAGACAGGGCTTGTGACCTAAGAACTTCTGACTTATTTTTTCCCCTTTTCAAAAACAATTGCCTAAGGCGCAGACAGGCCTTGGTGCTCTCCAAATTTATGAAAGAATCTTGAAAAAAGGCTCTGAGAGCGTCTTTGGGAGAAGGTAGTTGTAAATACGATGTGTGAAAACAGCCTCATGTACCTTTAGAGAAGCAGCGCCACCATTTTCGGACTTCCTTCCTCTCTGGATTCTGGAGGCTATTTATGGAGAAAGAGGAAATAGCAAATTTCACGTGTCGCTGGGTTATGTAAAATGCATGTTGATTGCTAGTTTACTAGTGGGAGCTGGTATCTGCTATCACTATTTTGAGAGGCTTTGCATTTGAAGAAGAGACAATTTACCCAATCAAACCCGTCTAGATTTTGCTGCCTATTGAAGTAAATAAGGCTGAATGTCTTTGAAACAGAAGATGAGTTGGATGGATGAATCATGGGTAGTCATCAATGCAAGGTTGGGGTTTTTTTACATTAAAAAATGTTTTTGTAATGAAAATAACACAGAGTTCAAGATGCTGTGGTGACACAGTTTTTCTTTAGCTTCTTAAGATTTTTATCACACAACCAGCTGTTTAGGACAACACATTTCTGTGGTCAAAAAGTTGTATGTTAGCCAACAGCACAAATAGATGCTACTATGATCAGTAGTAGAAAGTGAGAATTATATGAATTACTCATCTGGGTTATATTTCTGTGGAGGTTGATCATTCAACATACACTTCCCTAGTCTCTAAGACTGGCTGTCTGTATTAGACATATTAGATTAATGCTCCAAATGGGAAAGTAGAAGATAGACTTGAACAAGCTTAACGAGTTCCCCTTTCTTGAGGCTATCTTATACCAGTCCCTGAAGGGAAAGTAAAGAGTAGGACCTTCAGTAGGTCTAGCAGAGTGCATCCTGTACATCATCTCTGGCAAGATGTAAGCTTGTTTGTTTTATTTCCCAGGTATATTATTCCTGTGGTGCAGTGGTGGAATCGATGGAAAGAGGCCTGATTTTATCACCAGGTTTTCCAAACAACTACTACCCAGGGACACACTGTGTTTGGCAATTTTTCATTCCCGTGAGAACCCATCTTATCTTGGAAATTTTTGACTTTGACATTTTTGAGAGCTCTAGTGAAACTCCAACCCCCTGGGATGGCTTTTCAGCCCCTGCTAAAACAGGAAATAAGGACATGCCTTCTCTTGAGGAAAACCTGGACTTTGCTCTCCGTACTACAAAACCCTCTCTCCAGACCTGGATGTCAAAGGTGGCTCAGAATCTGAGCAGCACAGGAGATCAGTCGAAGGACCTTGCTAGTCACCTGGATGAACTTCCAGGAGCCGCCTCAAAAAAAGATGAAGCCAAACAAGCATCTGAAGAAAACCAGTCGAAGCAGATGAAAGAACCCAAAGCAATTATCAAGGCTCAACCAGAAGAACTGTCATTCCCTGTGGCTGGTAGTGCCACAATGCAGAGGCAAAATACCAGTGGCCTGGAAACAGAAGAAGATTTGAAAGGGAAAATTTTGCTTGCCCACCTAGCTGCTAGTGAGAGAGATGAAGTTACGATAGAGAGCTGGACTCCTCCCACAACAGTATTGCCCGTGGAAATCTCCTCCAGCCCACAGTCAGCAGTGGACGTCTGTCCCCATGACGTATTATATGTCTCCGATCTCATCACGTTTTCCTCTCGCTTCTGTGGACCAAATTCACCTTTAAACAAGACCATGGTCTTTGGTTCACCTCTGGAAATGGTTGAGGTTATCATGGAACTGATCACCACCACAGACCGGGGCCGAGGCTTTGCAATGCTCTTCGAATACAAGAACATCACCGACCCCAACACTGTAGAAGCTGTGAGGCAGGAGAGAAAGGAAAACATGATGATGCTGGCAATTATAACAGGGATCGTCTTCTTTGCGCTTGCTTTGCTCTCTGCCCTCTGCATAGCTTGCAGGTAAGATGATACATATCCGAGCCTTTGAAGCACGTGATATTATCCATACAGGAAAAAGACCAGAAAACAAAGTTACCTTTGCTTTCCTTTGCTAATGTTGCTGTCCTTTAAACATAGTGAAGTGTGTGGATACAGAGGAGATCAATGCCAGTCACTACTCCTGCCCTAGGCTCCTCAGTTTTCTTTCCTAGTTCTACAGCTCCTGTGCCTCCAATTTATTTTCTTTTTCCTGCAGAAATACCTGAAGAGTGAGGAATTTCTTGGGCATTATTTTGTTTCAATGGCAGCGGTGCCTTTGAACCTCAGTTTCGGGACACTGACTGGCCAATGGACACATGCAGAACAGAAAGATCATCCTTCCCCGAGTCTCCCGAGCAGGCTGAGCTGACAGCCACCGCGTCTTTTCACAGCAATTCCACAGTTTGACTCTAACCGTCACTAACGCTCTGCAGAAAAGTAAATAATAACAAAAACATTACCACTTAGAATTAAGATTAAATAATATTTTCCAGTCTGTAGCGTGTTTTATCCAAGAGACTGTGCAGACATTTTAATTCCAATGCACTTCATGCGTTAAGCCGTCCTCTGCACATCCCTTTGACTGCTAGGGAAGAGCCGAGAGCCATGCTGCAGTACCTGTGATTGTCCCCAAATGTCATCCGAAATGAGACGGTCAAGTGAGCTGATGGTCGGGCTGGGTTGCAGGTCCTGATGCTAACTAGTTAAATGGCTAAAACCAGCCAGTGACAAAAGCATACCTCTCCAGCCAATTGCTTTTATTTTATATATTTCTTTTCTCATATCTATCAGGAGAAAGCTTCTCACCCCCCAGCATATGTTTGCATTTTTCTTACTAACTCCCTAGTGAAAACGTTTTTGTAGAAACAGTGATTTTTTTTTTTTTTTTTCCTTCCAACAAATTCAAAACAGAGCCCAAGCTCCCCAGGTTTTTGTCAAAACAAACAGTATTTTTCAAGTGTTTTGACTTCAATAAAAACATCAGGTAAACTGAAACAGATACTGTCCCATGCAGGGCTCCACTGTGGTGACTGGGTATTAGTAATAGCATTCATTTCCCAGTGGCAGCATGCAACTGGTCCGTCTTCTCTCTTCCTACAACCCCTGCCTCATCTATTGCGCATCCTCCAACCCAAAAGGTCTCGGGATTGCCCAGCCACTCCTAGTCATTGAGGTTGGTTTGATAGAGGAACTTTGTTTTCCTTGTCCTTTCAGAGGCTGCATTTCTAACTCTTGCTGAATAAATACAAAATATAGGCCCTCATACTGGGTATAAGAGAACGTGGGCAAGGTGGTGAAGCTTAAATATAATCTTTCTTGCTGTATATAGACACTCCTGCTTTCAGGGTCTGAGCTTTTCGTAGTTGTAAGAGTTAAACTTGCGTGTGTTACATCTAACTAACCTTTTTCCTTTTTAAAGAGCTTGCAGAACGCTAATTTAGACCACAATTTTTTGCGAGCTCTAAAGGAAAATGTCTGGTGGAAAATGTCTTCCAGATACCAAATACTTTATTTTTATACCCTTGCCAATCCTCAAAAGAGACAGAAACATGCTCCCTTCACTATGGCAGCAATCTGGGCTGATACACATGTCGAGTAGGCTGTTCTTGCTCCATTACCCTATTTAATTTTACTGTAACTACCCATGAAGCAGAATATTATTCAAACCAAAAAGTACACCGGCAATCTGAGATTTCACTGGCTGAAGTTTACTCCGCGTCGCCCGTTTAGAAAGTCAGGCCATGCTGCTCACGTGCACAATTTGGCTTTTTGCTTATCAGATGTTTACAAAATAAAGTAATATTCTGCTGTTGCTGACCAACAGAGAAAAACGGGACGCATTTCCCTTCCCCCCCCCCCCAAATGTTTGTATGTTCTGGTCACTGCAAACGCATCCTGCCAGGGGTCCTGTGGCGCAGGACCACGATTAGACTCACTTCTTTTAACACCGGCATTTATGCCTTTTCATTGCCCTGCGACTCTTTTTTTAAAGGAAGATATACCTCAGTCAGCTACTGACTGTATATAAATAGAGACAATCCCTAGTCCTTTAGCCTCTTGAAAGGCCATTTACTATCTCAGCTGCCTATATTCCTTGCATGCTATTCCAGGGAGGTCTTGATTACAATACCTTATTTCTTGTCAGACTTAAAGCATTTAAGTGAGATCTGACACATGTGGAAGTGATGCCATGGCCTGTGCTGAGTAACCTCACTTGTATTGCACTGGAAGAGTCTTTTTTCCCTCTTTACTGCAGTAACTGCTTCGAGGATATTGGTCTCTGGTCCCAGAACCGCTGGCGCTGGTTGGAGCTCGCCTACACTTCCCAGCTGTGGGATTTTTAATGCAGCTCAGAATAAGACTGCAGAGGCCATTAAGCACATCTTAACTTCTTGTCGTTTGAGCCCACAAAACTCTATTTTATGCTTTTTGCCCTAAATAAGGGCTTGAAATCAGGTGTCAAATGTCTATTAGCCACAGCCTGTCCTCACTGCAGAAAACGTCAGGACTGCGAGGCGTGGGCTGAGGGAAGAAATGAAGATGCTTTAACAACGCAGCATGCTCAGAAATGGGACCAGCTCTCTGAGGCATGATAATACTCGCCCTGGCTGGAGCGTGCCATTGCAAAGGATGTTAATAGTAACCTTCAAGCTCTTGGCCTCGTAAACTTGCCTTCCACTTCCTTTTCTCTTCGTGTTTTACTTGTTCCTCTGGTACCAGGTTTAACTGTATTTTTTTTTTCCATTTCTATCTGCTGCTTTTGCTCAGCTAAAAGTAGCAGGCTCTGCCTTGCCAGGGGTAGAAATGGCCCGGGATGGGCTTGGCACCTACTGCCACTCCAATGCACCAAGTCGTCAGCAGTGTCTGCTGGGGCTCATTGCATTCAGCCAGGGCAAAGCTCTCTGGGGAAACTCCAAGTCTCTGCCACACTGCAGCTTTTGTTTGCTGTTTGGCGAAGGAATGAAAGCTTCAGTTGTTAGTTGGCCAATAATTCTAATTACTTTTGGCCATGAGGCCTGGCTCGAGTAATGGGGTATTTTTTATTTTCTTTCCCAAGCCCCAAGAACAACAGATATGTCCACCTTATTTAATTTTAATCCTGTCCAATGCAGTCAGACTTTTGCTCGATGGTTGCAACCCATGGATTGCAACTGCATTTTACATCTGCATAGCCTGCCAACGACCTGTTTCCAATTACAACCCCCTATGTGTACAGCTATTTCATCAAGTCATCGTGTGCTGCCATCTCTCTCCATGCAAGCTGCCCTGCCAGTCGCTGCCTGCAGCCTGGGGGAGAAACTTTTCCTCTGTCATATAATGCCCTCCTAGAGAATCCTAGTCACTTCTGGGCTAAAAACAGACCTTTCCTCTGCCACCCTTGTGCTAGGCACAACCCAGAAATCCCTCCCTGCCTGTGTCCTCCATTTCTGTCCCTCTACGCATCAGGCCGGTTTAGTTAGAGACTTAAGACAGCTAGACCTAGCTGGAGCTGCCTGCACAGGGCAATTTTCACAAAGCTTCCAACAGACTTGCATTTTTTGGTTTACTTGAGAAGTTTGAAGCAACTTTTTAAAAAAAAAAATTACAACTTCTTTTAAATGATGGAAACCGGTGTATTTGCACATTGGCTTTTTATATCCATGAGCTGCGCACCGATCTAAATCGCTGGTCTCCTTGGTGGTGAGGTACCGCAGCGTGCCGGGGGGGATGTAGTCCAACTGGAGGATGAGCTAAAGAAAGACTAAGATCCCCAGTCCTGCAAACTAGTGCATCTCTCCAGGCACCGTGGCAGCAGCTCTGAATAGAAGGAAAAAAAAAATCTCCAGTTTCCACCAAAATTGTTGGCGGAATCTAGAAACTCTTACTCTTTGCGTGTGTTGGTTTTTAACAGTAAATCAAATTGTTCAGTGGAAATCAGACACTCAATACCCAAAGCGCGACGAGGGAAGAAAAAGTTAAAATGGGGACATTTCAACCAGTTACCATTTTTTAATCCTAATTTAAATTTTGGGAAGAACAGGACTCTTCCTTCTCTTATTCCCCCTTATTCTACCATACTTGCACAGAAAACTGGTCTTTGCCGAGGGCACCTTGCTCTCCCTTTGGTTCATTCTGCCAAACTGCAGTGTGGATTTCAAGGTCGTTACGGTGCCTGCTAAATATTGTAGAGCACAACATTTATAAAGAATGGCAAGGAAAGGAGCCAAATGGATGTAAGGTATTCCAGTTTCTTAATGCAGAACTTGCTCTGTCTATCCTAGTTTATCATAACTGTCAGTTGCTGAGACTTTTAAAATGGATATTTCATCTTTTCAGCTTTGTCCCAGAGAATATGAATATCTTATAAACGGGTCAGCTGTATACAAGAATCTGAGGAACACATTTTTATTTGTGTTTCTGAGAACTCCAACATTTTATTTGTTAAGTCATGCTAAAAGTTCAAATAACAAACCCAAAAATGAGACCATCCAGATAACTAACAAGGCTGGGTTGCCAATGCCTGATGTTCAATGTGGAAGAAATATGTGCTAAGTTGCGTTTTCTTAGAGGAGAACATTTCCTTTGCGCTCTTTAATCCCTGGGTGGGAATATTTTAACAAATTTGCTTCTAGAATGCCAGTTATTTGAAACAAGAATATTTCATAGGAATATATCAGATTTGATTACATTTTTGTCATGGGTTTTGGCAGGAAAGAGCTGGGAGGAGGGAAGAGATTAAAAAAATGAATGCAATGTGGAGAAAGCAGGGAATTACACCTAGTTCTCCCACCATCTACCTGGATGCCTTGAGCACCGCGCTAATTCATTATTTTGGGGCATGTTTTGCCAGGTCACTCCTGCTGATATGGTTCTGGTGCCCAAAAACAGCTTCTGGTGTGTGTGGGAGGAATATTTACATACACATTTTCCACTCTGCACTATTTCCTACTTGGTTTGATCTTGCTTGATAGGCAACACCACTCCTACTTGGAAGCCTTTCCCTGCTTCCCCTTCCCGAATCAGTGGATTAAGGAAGAGCCTTCCCTGCTTTAGCCCCGAGCTCCCCCGAGAAGCCCAAGCGGTGGCCGATGCCATTGTGTCTCCTGGAGTAAGAGCTATCCATCTGTACCTCTTCTGGATTAAATTCTCAAGTGCCAACTCACTCTCCTCTTTTTCTGTAGTCTTCTCTGTATTCACTAGGAATAGCGCTGGGGCGCATCATGGGTTTTTTTCTCCCTCAATTCACTTGTCAGTCAATAAGCATTTTTTAAGAGATCCAATGATACGGTGAAGGAATGAAATGCACCGTGCCCGAGATGGAGCAGACACCGGCTCCCAGCCAGCCTCATCAGGTGGCCTCTGAGTCCCCATTCTTAAAAACAAACAGTAATGAAACGGTGACTGAAAACTTGAAATCTTGGCTTCAACACATCACTACCAAAAAACCACTTGTATGGAGGAGATTAAATGCCTTAAAGCAAACCAAGCCCTCCAACAAGCAGAGGAAAAATGCCAGCCAACAGCACAGACAGTAGGGAAAACAGTAACGGGGGTCCCATGCTATCTGGTCAGTGCCTTAGTGCTCCCGTGTGTCTCTGCACTGTCCCGTGGAGAACTGCTGCACACAAAGACAAAATACACTCGCTTCAGTCATTATCACGTTCGTTACTGCCAGCCTTTCCCTGTGACATCTTCACGTCTTATTCATCCAAAAGCAAATAACACTAATATCTCAGTTTTAGTAAAAATGTGAAAAAAATGATTAAGAACGTGCTTTTGTCTCCCCTCAGCCAAGAGGCATGTTTACCCGGTAATCATCTGCCGTAGCGCTGTCTTTTAATAAAATGTTCATACAAGTGAACCACATCTGATGCTCTCTGCTTGCTAAATGTCATCCAGCACGCAGTACCGGCTATGCAGATGATACGCTCTGTCTAACAGGATAGAAACGATCTCGCTGCCCAGACCAAAGGCAGGATTTCAGTCCCGCTATTTAGTTACTGACGTGAAAGAGCGGCCGGCGCGGGGGAGCCTGGTGGGACTTGGCAGAGGTCTGTTCTGCTTTTGCAGTGATCATGGGAAGAAGATGACAGGTCCTTCTCTTCTTCAGCTGACTTTCCACTACGTGAACCTATCATTTTCTCCCCTGGCCTACAGGCCTTGTTGCCCTGAGTCTTGGCAAGTATTTTGGATGCTCCTGTAGGCAGGAGAGCTCACAACCTGCCGGGTCCTCCTCGCAGGATGAGCACAGCTGGGACCTTCCCTTCTGTGGATCTTTAACTCACTCGTGGGCTTCTTGTTGTTGTTGCTGTCTCTCCTTTTCAGGCAGAGAACGTGCCCCAAAAGGAGCTCATCCAACGCATGCAGTGACCAGGAGGTTAGTGCTAATGGCTTCAGCAATTTCTGTTTCTCTCTTTCATATTGGCTGTTGCACTGTTTATCTGACGATGTTTACTGGGGCATGTTCTGAGTTGTAGAACGGGATCCAGAACTCTGCCGTCGATATCAATGAGCTCCAGCTGGTGGTGCCAAGTCGGGAGAATGAAAACAACAACCACTCTGTCAGCCGGGAGCAGGCGGGTAAGCGCGGGGCAGCGGCGGGAGCAGGTCAGGGCACCCCGTAGCCCCTGGCCAGTTAATCAGATCGTTTCTTCTTGCAGTCCTCCTCGCTGTCTCGCCCGTGCACAGCTGGAGAGCCACTTCACAGCAGAAAGCCTTTGTTGTGGGAACTGTTCCTTGCTGCTCTCCCCCCTCGCTGGTAGGGTAATTCCCCTGGCAAGGAGCACGCGCAAGCACAGCTCCAGGACGCTGCCAACAAAAGCTGTCATAGCACATGGCATTGCAGAGACACTGGGTTAGCAGAGCAAATGTGTCGGGTTCAGGCTGCTACAACTTATAAAGATCCATAAATTGTGGAAGAGTTTCACCTGCCCTGTGCTTAACCTTGTCTGGAAAGGATGGGGTTTACAATGCTTGCATTGGCTTTGGACAACTTTGACTCCTGGAGCTAACTTTTTCTGAAGAGCTTTATGGATGACACTGCTTTAGATGACATTTACTTCACAGTGTGTTTCGGGAACAAAAGACCCCCAGCCGAGCTGCAGATAATGTCACTTGCTGCAATTTTGAGTCACAACACATGAATTTTATCAATGCCCCTTTTGGGTGGTGAAGGCCAACAGGGAGCCACTTCATGTTGTGTTGCTACACGCCATCGGTTTCCCACTAAGCCGTCAGCCATTACACACAGCTCTCACTAGGATAGCTTCCTAAAAAGCTAATTCTGTGCTCCCAACCATGACAGTTTCCCATCTCCTTCTTTAGAAAAGTCATCGAGGAGGTTGTGGCCAGAGCTCTCCTGGCCTGGACAGGCCAGAGGGGACAGGCCTTGGGGACACATGGACGTGCAGACCCCTGTGGCAGTCCCCGCAGCGTAAGGCTGCCTGTAGGAGCAGCATTGCAAAGGTTTAAGCAAAAAGCACAGCTCCCAATATTAACAGGGATGAGTAAATACAAATAAAGAATGAGTTGAGCAAATCTGCAAACTTCTGATCTGCAGCACAACCTTGTGTGTTGAGTATGAGGGATTTCAGTTTGGGTCTGCCTTTATTAGAAAGCTGACCCAAGGGTGTTCCACTCCTCCCCTTTTGTTTTGTTTTTAAAAGCTCGCAGTTTCAGGAGAGCAAACTCTTGGCTTGAATTTTGTCTGGGGAGAGAGGGAGGAGGGTTTGTCATGGAGGAGTTGGGAACAGATGTTTTGGACTCTCACAACCAGTCTTTATTGATTTTCTTCTCTTCTCAGTCACTTCCTGCGGAGGCAGCACGGAACGGTCTCCTCAGGACACTGACCCAGATGTGCCCTCCTCCACATCCGCAGTGACCACCGAGACTGGGAGCGATGAAGTGTTTATTATTTCTGCTGGACCTGGCGCCAGCGGGCTGAGCTTTGCCACTTACAGAATACAGGTAGAAATGCTCTTCGGCATCTCTAGCAAGCCACGGGATGTCCCTCTCGGACAGCACTTGTCATATCTGTCCATTTATGCTTGCTGCCCACTTTGCAAGAAAGGTAGTGATGGAGCCAGGCAGGTCTCCTAACCCTCGAGCTGAGCTGCCGTCGAATGATGTGGGCTGTGATCCCCCGAGCCAGTATCTTCCCACCTTTGAGAAGACCAAGTGTAGAAATCTACCTTGGATCTGATAGGCGATAATGCAGAGGTCTGCCAGCAGGCAGTAGGACCAGCCCTCAGAAATAGGTTAATTGGCAAAGATGATGTTCCATTAAAAACATCACTGAAGGACTTGGCAGTCAGACCTGCTCCTGCCCACCTCTACCAAGTGGTCAGGGAAGTTACTCAGCTCCTCAGCTTGTCAGAAAGCTATTTAACTGTCTCACCGGCCTGATGTGAAAATTAACAGTGCATGCTCCAAAAACCCAAGTGCTTCAAGTGAAAGCACTGGGGTCCTTTCAAGTGTACACACAGAAACCTGAATCAGTTCAGTAAGTTCTCTCTTATTTTAGCTCTTGCCCCTGTACTCCGGGTCAATTATTTGTTTAGAAACAGATGAGAGCTCAGAAGTCTCGGGCCTGGCTGCCACCTCTTCAACCTTGAGCGTAGTGCCTGCAGAGCACATCCCTTTCAACTCTCTGGTAAAGCCTTTCCCAGATCAAGACTCTCCTCTCTCTTTTCCCCACAAGAGGAGAAACAACCAGTGCAAGGGACTCACATGCCCCAGGACAGCCTGGGTAATACTTCTGTCACAGTTTACAAAATAAACGCATTCCGTATCCCTGCACTTGATGAGGAAATTAGCCAGGAGGCCAGGCTGGTCAGGATTTTCCTACGCTGGTATAAGACACGTGCTAAGCTTTTCCTCCAGTCAGCCACACTGATTAACAGAAAGAGGGGAAAAAAGGGAAAACAGCTCTTGCCCAAACACTTTACCCTTTGCAGAGCAGGGCACTGTGAGCTGTACCCGTGCCCAGACTGGGCACCCTTGAACACCTGCACTCCTTGGTCCTTTCCAGTGGAGAGAGCTTCACCTGGCAGCAGTCACATACAAATACAGCTTCTTGACAGGGGGGAAACCCATTTTCCTTCCTCTTTTCCCCACTCTAGTCAGAACGAACAAATACACTTAAAGAAAAACATTTCTGTTCTTCCATCCCTTCTGCAAGCAATCTATCAGAGGAGATTTTTATACATATATATATAAAAAAACAACTTAGCGTTAAAACAGTTCTAAGTGAAGGTAACCCAAAGGATTAAAGTGATTTACCACGTTATAAACTCAGGAGGCATCTCCTTCTCAGTGACATCCACACTGCACACGAGTGAGCCAATGCTCTCAACCAAATCCCTTAAGGAACAGAAAACCTACCCAGGAAGGGTGAAAGGGCCTCTTTAAAAGCACTGGGTCTTTCCCCACAGCTGAAAACTGTCTTCTCCGAGGGGGTGGAAATAGAGCACAGCAGGCTGATTACAAACCTGCACTCAAACGGGGTCTCTGCAGGCTGCGTGAGTTAGTCAGGGTTACTGGATGTTAGAAAGAAACGTGTTTACAGTTTAATTTCTAACTGTGTATTTTTAGGGTGTAAAATGCAGCTGGCCAGCCAGCTCCTGGCTTTAGCCTCTGAGTCCTGCGGAGGGTTTGGTGCGTAGCTTTTGTGGCCCGGCGCTAGGCAAGTAGGACGAGTTGCCCACTGGAGCGCAGCCACTTTCTTGGCAGGAGGGATGAAGTTATCCTCATGTGAAAAGACGTGTGAAATCCTGAGCCTTTACGGTACAGTAAATAACACCATCAGACTCGCCTCACCCAAAATGCTCAACTAGACAAAGCAAGCTATAAGGAGCTTTCATTAAAAAAATTATCCCGATCTTTTTACTGAGAAATGGTGGCTGGCCACTTGGTCTTGTGCCCCCCAGTAAGTGTGAGCCTCAGCTCTGCTGCCAGGTGGCTTTTGCTTTTTAGCTTTTAAAACCCATTTGAAGAAATCAATCCAAGGAGACGGAGGGCAGGGTGGCTTTCAGATGCCTTCTGAGGTGTCCTTCAGGAGGGTCATAGCTTTTAAGTCCCGTTTGATTTAAGTCATCGTTTAGCCTTGGCTAACTTATAACTATGACCTCTGACTTCTATTCAGATATTACAAGTTTCAGATGCTAAGGTTTGAGTGAAGAGTATTATCATGGAGGTTTAAGAAACTTTTTTTGCTAAAACATTTTCAAAAATCTAGAAAATACATTATTCATCTTCATAGTTACTTCCAGTATATCTATCTCAAAACCAGTGGCTAGCTTTTACACCAGTTTGGAGGTACTTATAATAATATTAGAATAATAAATCCTAAGACAGCCTGAAGAGGCTTCTGAGGAGAAGACAGCTGGCTTATAAATTTATAAATAAAGATTGTTACTTTAATCAAATCTGAGACTAAGAGCTTAATATTGAAACAAACTTATCCAGAGCCTGAAGCCTCTCCCAGCTTCCTACCAAGATTTTTTTTTCTGCTGTAGTAGCTAATTTCTTGCCTCTCTGCCCATCCATTTCCAATATGACATTTTAACTAAATAGTTTCTTTGCTTTGCAGAAACTTGAGAGATTCAGTTTCTCAGAAATAACAAATGACAAGTTTCTGGTTTCTCAGGACTTCTAAATCCAGGACACCGTGGGATTTATTTCAGACCCTCTTTAAGGACTATGTAAACTCTGGGAATGTGGATTTTGCATTCTTCTCATGACAACCGTATCTGCACAGCTGAAAATTAAAAATACATAGAGTTGTGGAACAGGAGGCTTATATAAATAACAGGTGAAGTATTAGTAAGAGTGAAAGGAGATTCATAGGACAGTCAGGGATTCTTTAACTTTTCTGGCTCTAAACCTACATCAATATTAAGGACAAAAATTGTGATTTTAAATGCAACATGAGAACATACAAAGTAAGTATGGAAGAGATCTTTAGAAGTCGTCTATAGTTCATTCCCATGTCAGATCAACTCTGCTTCTACACAGAGCTGGCGACAATGGTTTAATGTGGTCTCATCTTCTGATGATGCCAATTTTACACCTCTCTGGACGTCTTGTTCTACTGTTAAAGCACATTTTCCACCTGAAAAGCATTTCTTACGTGAAATGAAAATCTCCTTGGCTCCAATCTGGGTCTCATGCTTCTTGTTCTATTCACCACAGACACCGAGAACAGAACCCTTTCTTTTTGTTTTTAATTCTTTTTATTTTCTTAATTCTTCCCTAACATAGGATAAAGAGCACCACTTACTTCAGTCCTCCCTCCTGAATCATAATTTTTGAGACTTCTGGTTCTCTTGTTGCTTGCTTCTGGATTTCTTTCAGCGGGCCCCATCCCCCTTGAAGTTTTCTTTCCCCAGACAGACATATCTGGAGCCTTCCAAGAGCCGAGCAGAGTGGAAGAATTACGTTTTACACAGTGGAGTTTACTACTCTGATCTGTCAGATAACTCCAGTAAAATAAAGCTGTAGATATTTGATGTTAGTTGGTTAGTGAGAGGGGTAGGACTTTACATCTTACGTAACTGAAATTTCCCAATTCAGTGTTAAACTGAAACTGGGGAAGGAAGGTAAAACTTTCATCCAGGGAAGCCAGTGAAGCTCAGGCGGCAGGCTGGAAGAGCAACGAGAAGTTGCGTTCCTGTGTCTTGGCCTGAGAAGGACGACAGTGAAGAAATCAGTCTCTTGCGCTAGCAGCGTATTTTTTTAAAAACCTTTTGATGAAAGATGCTGTAAAAGATCTTTATTTACTCTTTTCAGGACAAAAACCTCAAAAGAAGTGTCACAAGCCCAGCCTCTGTGTCTGACTGGCTGACTTCTAATCACGCGGCTGCAGGAGCGGACGCTGTTGAGAAGGGGAACGGCCAGCTGGAAAATCCCTGTCCCAGACAACGCACGTGGAGTGCCCGCACTTTCCACGACTTCCTGGCCCCGATACCACAGCTACAGAAAAAATGGTGTAGCTGGACCACCAACAGTCCCTTCACAAAGCTGGTTGACAACAGTGTAAGTCTTGCAAGGAGGGGAGGACGTGGGCGGGGGGGTGTCTGTGCCCCAGTACCCCCAGCTGCTCGTTGATGGGAGACGTTTTCCCCTTGGCCTGCTGCTTTGCTTTTCCAACCTGCAATGCAATACGTATTTCCGTCCATCTTGCTTGGTGTATGGGAAAGTCTTTTGCCTAACTATATTGTAATTTATTCAGGCTTTCCTGAAGTGCTAAGAAGCTGTATTTCCCAGCAGTTAGCACCTGGTTAAGAAATCATCCCCAGTCCAGAAAAACATTAAAAAATGCCCTCAGACTAGATAATCTCATTGAATGTTCTGACGTACCTTTTGTCCCCTGGATATGCCTTCAATTTATTTTAATTGATGTATTACTATTGCCTTGCGAGGAATCCGTAGGTGTGGGAGGGATATCTAGGTCTCACTGACTGTAATCATCAAACCAACAGCTTGTTACAAAGCTAATAGAGGATGTTTCTTCTTTTTTTAAGGTAGTAACATAGGTTTTTGCTAGCAAATCATCTAACCTCTAACATAACCAGGAATTTTAACTTTTAGTTCCCTTGGGATCAAAGTTAGCTTTGATAGCTGCTTTTCATGGCATGTCTACTAATTTATTATTATTTTGTGCAGGGTTTTCCTACAGCTGCAAGATCCCAAGGTGTCCCAACCAGAAAGGTAATCTCAGCCACTGAGATAGAGGGAGCATCAGGGACAGTTTACTCTGATTCATCTGTCAGTAATGCCTCATACCCCCTCACTCTGTCTGCACAAAGGCAGCGGAAGCTAAGCTCCTGCAATTTGAAGAAATCCAGGTTTGGGAACCCTTATTTTGGATTTTTAGCCAGTTCCCCTGACAGCAAACATGTGAGGTCCTTGGATCCCTCAAGACATCTAGGGACAGCATCTCCAGTTAACAGCCAAAGCCCCAAAAATCTTCTAGAGAGCTCCAACCCACTGAAAATCAACTTGGTCAATGGTTCAAAAACAAAGGAGCTTATGGTAGAAACAGATAAAAACAAACCGGTTTTTGTTATTTCTGAAGAAGGGGATGATCAGCAGCCTCTGGTCCTAGCAGAACATCTTAGTCAATGTGGAGATCATCTGTCGGAGCAAAATGCTGTGTATGCTCCAGCTGTGCCAGATAAACAGCCGCTGGTTCTGACTGCTGAGGGGCACAGTTCTGCCAGCTTCACGTCAAACCTTCCCCTGTGGGCAAAATCCCCCGGTTTATACAAAGGTCACGTGAAGGCCCCTAGCTCTTCCAGGGACCAGCAGAGCTTGTCAGTTGTAGATGCTAACACTACTGAGACCTCACAGAACTGTGATACCCTAGCTGCTCCTACGCTATGCCAAGCTTCAGTCCAGTGATGCCCTCAGACAGATTGAAATACCAGTTCACAAAAACAGAGGCAACAGGGACGTGATCAGAGTGGAAGCTGTGCCAAGTAGTTGAGCGTGGCAGTCTTAGATGGATGCAACCTTGTTAAGAGCGGTCTTTGCTTCCCACCCGTTGGGACTGAGATTACGAGGATACATACCATAGCACAGCACAAATGCCATCTTCTCTTATGCTCACTAACCTCATCTCTATTCTTCTGCATGAAATTTTGATGTGGTTTATACAAGAAAGCATCCTCTGGAAAGGTACTTCAGACTGCAGAACACCTTTTCTGGAATGAGAAATGAAAGTAATCTGAGATGGTTACATCGTGGTTTATATCTGAAATGTCAGTCAGGCCTCTGTCACTGTGGTATCACCTGAGTCTTTCTGTTGAGCGTTCATAGCTATGCCTGTACAACCAAGCCTTGCCAAGCCAAGGGTAAGAATTCAATCGTGCATGTTTGCATACAGTTTTGTAAACTTAATTTTAAGCATTTCATAACTTCTGCACTCTAGCACAAAGTTTACCGAGCATTAGCATCTCTAATATTGAAGACCATGATTATCTCATATCCTAACTCTTTAGAGAAGTGTACAGACAAGCTGAGCAAGCCGATACTGGATGCTAGTTCTATAAAAGTCTGATGTAGCTTTATCTTTGTTAGGTCTACATAGGCTTAAAACACCTCAGGCCACTACATTTTTAAGTGACTCCTCATGGCAACAGGAGCATGTGTACAAAACACTGAAATACTAGGAATAGTCTTCAGCATCCAACACTTGGATATTTGCAGCTGCTCTGATCCTATATCCACCAGCTATTTATTGCTGGTAACGCACATTGACTAGAGAACTATTTCCCTTCCTTTAGCAGGCAAGACTTAAAAGATAAAATTAAGTGGGGCAAACGTTGAGTGCTCACTTTCTTTCGAAATGAACTAAGTGGCTGTGCCTCCCCGATTACAAATGCAGGGCATTCAATGGAACACTGAACCAAAGGGAAGCCTGCTAGTCCTATTGCCTTTAATAACCCCATCAGTATTTTAATTGCCTCCTGGTGATATTTTCCTATCTTTGCAAGAGACGCCTGCATGTTCAGCCCATAACTTCGAATTATTTTGCTTTCTTAAATGAAAGAAATTCCCTAGGAAGCTGTATTTGCAGCTGACACAGCACATTGTTTTAAAGCAATAGTATGTCATGAAACAGGTGTCAGAAAGAAATCTTCCGTACAAGTCTTCCCCTATATTAGCTACAGCGTGCATCGTTATCTTAATCCTTCTACGTGAAGGCATTTAAGTCTGATTCCTGAAATATTTAACTGAATTATTTATGATTTCACCTGCTATTACAGCTTCCATTTGCCACCTATTAATGTCTGAGATATGCAACACAAGATTGTAGGGTTTGCCTTATGTTTTGTGTGTGTGTTTACGTATCTACGTAGACATAGAAGCCTTGCATCTGGTAGCAGTGGAGGCAAAACCATATATGCCCTTTAGCAGTTGACGCAAACACGAACAGCAAACAAGTCTTCGCATTTGTTATTACCAGACTGTGTTGAGCAGTTTTGAAGCACAAAAGTCTGGCTCCAAGCTGTGGGTTTTTTTGTTGTTGGTTTTTTTGTTGTTGCTGTTGTTTTTTTTTTTTTAAATTAATGCTACACGATTCAAAGGGAAGAGTTAATATATTTATGATTTAAGAAAATATTTAGAAGTCTTCAGTACTCTAATAACTTCCACTGCATTAAGTTCATATCCATTGTAATTCAGAGTTAATGTTCTATTACTTATTACATTTCTAAAGATCGAAGTACTAAAATCTACTTTTGAAAAGTACTTGTGTCCAGTTATTGACAATAGCTACATTTGAAGGGCTGGAAAAAGTGGCTTTTTCAATAAAAGCGTGTTTAACTACTCATTTCTACAATGTGATGACGCTTATTTTGCTGAAAGACTAAGTTGTATGGGCATTGCCTCAGAGCACCAGTACATGGCGTGGTGCGCACCACTACATGGCGTGGTGCACGCCAGTGCAGCAACCTCCCTAGCAGCTGCTGCAAGGGCAAGAGCACAAAAGCTGCTGCATCGTTCAGTCAGCGAACACCCCAGGATTAGGTCCTGTTTGGTTTCTCTCAGTAACCTAGCGAGATGAGGAGGTGGTTGTTTCCATGTCCTCTATTACCTATCTGTGTCACCAAGAACAGATTTTTCTAAACCTGTGAAGACTGGTGCCAGAAGCTGGTTTCTGTGGCAGTTTGGATTTCTTTTCCTATACTGCTTATCTTCACACTGTGTACCTCTTCCATCATCGCCTGCTGTAGCAGTATATGGCCAATTATACATGAGACACTAAATCAGATATCACATGTTCAGCATGGACTATATACACATATACGTTGAGAGAGGCCCTCCTCTTGAAGGATATGCAATACTGAACGATGCTGCTTATTCTCGGCACGGATGTGGCTGATATACCAAATTCAAAGGTGATGTCTTCCGCCACTAGAAGATACTGAAGCCTAACACCTAGCTGGTGCATGCCGCAGGTACACAAAGACCATCCCCTCGCTCTTGGTCAGCCCCGAAGAGCCAGGAGTACAACATATGGGAGACTTAAGCTTAAGTTCCTGACTTGCCTTTTGAAGTTCCTTTTTTTTTTAAGGCAGGTCACTAAAATGAACTGCTAAGGAGGTATTTGTGTTTTATTTTGTACCTTCAAAGAATTTATAAAATATTTTCTTCCTCTTACAGCTAAAGGAACTGTTTTGAAATTCTCCTCTTCTTTCCTCCTCCCCCCAGGAACAGAAACAGCTTCCACCCATACTCTTCAAAAAAGTCATAGCGCAAATTTAAGAAATTCTGAAAGCTCCGGGTGGAATAAAGCGCTCTAATACTCTCAGCTGTAAATATTGACTAGGTCTGGTTTTTAAATAGTATTACTTACGGCATTTATTTTGTTCCTAACAGCTATATTACTTCTGAGAGCTATGCTGCCACTTTTTAATGACAGAAGACCTCACAACTCATGCATGGGCTCGGGATTCAGTTTTACCTTTGTGGTAATGCAGTCAGTTTACTGTGCTATTTTGCATACTGTAACTAAGCAGCAAATGAGATAAGCATGCTAAACACTTGCTGAAGAGGAGGAAAATAATTTCAATCACAATTGCATGGGAAAAAATGTCCAAATATATTATGGAGCTAACAAACAGAAGGAGTATTCTTTTCACCAAAACTGGATTTGAATAAATGTTCACTTTTTTTTTAATAATTATTCTGGAATATACTAGGCAATCCCTCTAGCCAATGTGTTAGGTAGATGAATAGGACAAAAATACGTGGGCATTCCCTATTTTTTCATTGTTGAAACAGAGCTTCAAAATGAAAGCTTGAAGCTATACAAGCTGACAAGAATCCTGTGTGCTAGGTTTCTTACTGTCAGTAGTTAAAATGGTTGAGAATGGGAAAACAGTCCAGAAGATTTAACATGCAGCTAATGCATCCTAACTGAGGATTCGGAGTAGCATTCAGCAAGAAAAATCCATTTACAACTTTCCTTAGCAGAAACATGAACTGAGGTTTCCTTTCAGAAATCTAACTTTTCTTTAAGAGCAGTTGGTTACAAAACATCCTACTTATAACTGTTTGGTTTGGTTTTTTTTCCCCCCAAGACAAAGGCACATGAGCCATAATAAAACACATTTGACTCAAATAGTCCAGTCAGTTACTAGATTTTATTCTAAACAATTAAAGATTAATTTGGCTTGCAAGGAAAAAAAAAGGTAAGTCCTAAGCCAACACTTACCTAACGAAAGCAAGCAACTGAAACTCAGCAGCACTGAAAAGAATACCCAGCAGAGATCAAATATAGCTTCAACATATATTCATGGTCTGTCTAGAAATGTCTTTGATGTTAAACCTCATATGGCACACTTAGCATTTTTTATAATTCATTTCCTATGGAAACTAATGAGCTTAAGGGTGAAATTACCTCATTGAAAGTCAAAATGGTGAAGTGTGAAGAAAAGAAGGATGACCTGAAAAGCAGATTTAGAAGCAATCTTTGCATATTAAGCATTGCTGTGGGAAATAGGATAATTAGTTTTCTTCAGAAGTTATTCCTTGGAATTGTGTAAGTGGTATTTCAGTTCCCAAACATCACGCAGAAAGAATGTTAGATAAAATAGGTGGAAAAAATGCAAAATGCCCACACATTCTTTTTAAAATCAAGAGATCCTTTTCCTAACTTCCAGTAACACAGTGACTGTTGGTTTATTTTTAGAGGGCAGACTGTACAAAAAAAGGCCCCCTTCCAGCAGAAATTTCTAAGAGGCCATAAGAAACCAGATTTTCAGAGCATAATTTAGAATTGAGCGTTCTCCTCTCAAATGCCTAACTCCTTCTACTTGAATTAACTTACTTCCCTAAGCTCTTGCTGTAGGCTAAGCCATCTGCACTACACAGTTCTACTGAAGACTAGAAATTGATACAAAATGGATGAATTTTGTTTGCAGAATGAATGAGCTAATGATTGATCTTTGAATGTCAAACACCAAGATTTTTCTATTAAATTCAAGGAAAACAGTATCAGAGCTTAAACACAAATTACTCTACACAGTTGCTGATTCAAATACTTGAGACACACTGCGGGTTCTCAGATTAACAGGCTGTTGAGATTAGTATGTTGTCAGCTATTGCAGCTGCAAAAGGCTATATATTGTATTCTCTTTCTCACAATCATGCTACCATTATTCTTTAGGGAGGAAGTGCTCGGAAGAGTTTATGCTGTGCCAGAACTGATCACTTGATGGGGCATAAATCCAAAATCAGCAGCTTCCTCAAACTAAGTTAGTTACAAGTCATTTGTTGACATAATGGAGTATAAAACACTTAAATCCACCAATGCAACCACAGGGCAAGCCAAAACCATTGCAAGTTTTAAGGTCTATCAGCTTGTCTTTATGGCGTACAGAACAACACAGCATTTTCACTTTTACATTACTTAACCTGAGTTTGAATTTCTCTTAAATTTAGTCTGAAGAACAAATGACAGCTGGTTTAAGAACAGCAATATAGATTAGCTACAATATATATCCAGCTTCAAGTATGGGACTGGCAGCAGTGCAAAAATCCTAGGATGCTAAACTGCAATTTGAAGCTTAACAACTCTGGCATCACTGTCTTCCACCTCAGACAGTACGGGGCACAGATAAGTCCTCCTATTTACTCAGAAAGGGAAAAGTTCTATTCAGAAAAAGTTCTATTAATAGTAGCCGTTCGAAATCTTATCTTTTATACAAGTTAGATCATTGTAAAGATGAACACAATACGGCAATAATTTCCTCTAGCCTGCTGTTAAATTAATAGTGGTATAATGCTTGTCACTTCAGTGCTTATGGTATTGCAAGAAATTAGAATAGTACCCACTTATTTAAAAGTAGTAAACTTTTTTATTTACTAGCATCTTGAAGTCATCTTGTTGACAAAAATGAATTCTATTTAATAGTTTTTCACGTATATAATTCGTTATAAATCCTGTAGAGATATTAATGATCCTTTGTGACATCATCTGACACTTTTAAGAAAGTTTGAGAGAATTTCTTGGAACACCACAAAAACTTTTGTGTCATTTTCAGTTACTACAAGTTCAAGGATGATATTTAGTTGTAAAATCTCAACATTAAAATAATTAATAGCTTGGCCAAGCATTAGCAAGTGTTGCATACATCCATTTCTGTGATGAGAGAATATGCCACAGAAGAAACAGAAACAGACAACTTCAGTGAGTAGCTTTTTTTTTTTTTTTTTTTTTAATTAATAACTTCTTAGTTCAGGAAAAAAATAAATCACAAAAGAGAACTGGAAGAACTACTCTCCACCTTCTTTATAAAAGAACTTTCTCAAAGAGAGAGACTATATACCTTGTTCACCACTACGTCAAACCCTATCATAATCACCTCGGTTTTCACAACATCTATTCTACCACATTTAATGCTCAGCTTCCAAATATCTCTTATAAAGGAGGTGGGGGTGTGCTTTAGACAGGTTAAAAATATGCTGCACCTTTACAGTATTTAAACAATTACACCAAGCATAGTTCATACATTTATCACATTAACTATCACCTGGTAACCATACATTTTAAAAGGTCTAATGTATAGAGTATGTAATACCCATGACAGATACTCTTACTTACTTAAGAGCATATAAAGATCAGGATTTATTCACCCTCCCCATCTGCAAGTTAATTTCTCATCTCTTCCTGGTACAATATAAATGACAAAAAAATCCCTTCATTCCATTGCACTACCGCAACCCTATATGCATAGAAAGGCAGATTAATTATCTGTAACAGGGAAAAGGAAGAGGGGTTTATAAAAGGAATTTGAAGAACCTCTACTGCACAGGTAGTTTAGATGTTAAGTACATGAGTTCTGTTGTTTGGTTTTTTTTTCCCCCCTCCATTTTTTTCCTTAAAGTTACATAATACATCCCTATACAAACATAACTTGAGTAAGTGCAAGCGAGGTTGTACATAGTACTGTAGACACATTATTCTTGACCAACAAAAAAAAATTCAGCACAAGAGGCTTGAACACTAGCAGAGTGACAAGTCTATGCTGAAAGCCCATCTGGGGTGTGGGAAGTGGTGCATGAGAATGCAAAGCACATTTCCGCATATAATGTGCAAAGGCTTGATCTCCACAACTGCACTCAATTTGCTACATGCACAGCCAGAGATGAAAATGAGATCAAAAACAGCTGGGAATGGTTGTCCTGAGAAGATATAATAACCATTAAAAAAAATCTAAACATAAAATACAAATACAGAAGCAACAGAACATTGTTAATAGTACTAAAAGACAGAAACACACTGTTGTTGTTAAAAGAAGTTTCAAGTATTATTCCAGATCCAATTTCAATCCTACTCACAGGAGAAAATGCCCAGAGATTAGGAAGAGAAGTCCACACCAAAGTGTACTTTTAATAGCATACGGGCATGGTCAACAGACCCATCCTTGCGACAGCTATTTTAAAAAATAAAAATCTAAACAGAAATGCATCATTCTAATTAGCATTCATATTAAGATGTGCATTACTGGAAATAGTTGTTTAATTCACTGACACCAGTAGACACAATGTGCTGCATCATTTGTGCTCCATTATATCACAAGATATTGTGTGTACACTTTTTAACATCAAAGTATATCATCCTGCTCATAAAATAAGGCATACTTAAAAACAACATGGTATCTACAGAGGTAACTTTGTATGCTTTCTTCTCATTCTGTTTCACTCTTCTAGGTATGATGAAAAAGAAAAATTGGTCCCAGTTGAGGTTTGTCAACATTAGCTACCAGACTATGATGAAACAGATCAGATCATATCAATTTGGGAGAGGGGGTGGGTTGTGTTGGGATTTTTTTTTTTTTTTTTTTTTTAAAAATTATGCTTGGGACATTTCCTGAATGAGCTCTGCAGAAGGCATGGAAATAAAATCTACATTTTTTATGTCAGTGACACCAGTGTTCCCCTTCATCATCCCTATCCCTATCCAGAAATGCCTCCATATTGCTACAATTTGTCCAAACTGAATTATTTTCTGTAAGATTGTTCTTTCCAGTAAAGCTGCTATATTCTGTTTTAAATTATAGCTTTTTCTACATTTTCACCAGTGTATGCATGCTAGAGGTACATATTTAGCATACGGTATCAAACCAAAAAAGAAATACAAAAAATGAACCAGTGTCCTACTGGCTGCTCTATGTCAAAAGCACTGTTTGGTCTTCTGATATAAAACACTACAGAAGTAATATTAGCAGAAGTCTGTTCTGCTTCAAGTATTACCCCAACTTTAAATGTGATTTTCAAATTTTTGTGCAATTATTTTTGTAATTTAATGTGAATAAAAACATCAACACGACTAAACTAAGAAAAGAAACTGTACTACTTCCACTATAACACTGCACATATGGTAGAAGCTTTAAGTTGAAACAGCTGTTTAATGGACGGAATTTTTTTTTTTAAAGTGAATATTAATGTGGTTTCTAGCCCAAATGCAATGGGTAGTGACAAAATATCAGACTACCGCAAAATGCAGTTACAAATATACACTGACAATTTCCTTCTTAAATATTAATGGCTCTTGAAATATCCATCAGATACTTTTACAAAACATTTCTATTTTAAGTCTAAGGATTTTTCTTAGTTTCTTCACAAGTAGTGCAAATACACTCCTTATTCTTAGGTCTTCCCAAGATATGGCTGGTTTTTGTGTGTGTGATTTCTGTTTGTGTTCTTCACTGAAGTGATACAGGGACACTGTAGTCATGAGGATGGAATGCAATGCTTGCTGGACTTTCTTGGAAAAAAACCAAAAATCTACCTTATTCATGTACAGCTGTAAAATTCTACAGACGAAAAAGTTCACATCAGATTATCTGATGCAAAAGTTATTGATTCCCTGCTATGGGGGAACTGAGAAGATCCCCTGAAACCTTAAAATGTACAAGCAGTGTAACAGGTTTTTGTCCCTTCTCTACAGACTACAAGTATTCAGTTCTTGAATCGTGTTTGTTCACAAATGTGATTGAATTTCCTGAAATTAAAAAAAAAAAAAAAAATTAAAATGTTACAAAGTTCTCAGAAGTCAGGCAACAAAAAAGTCAGCATCTTTCACAGGGTATTTTAAATGTTAAACAGTTTAAAGCAGAACATTTACACGCTAATATATCTGTTTTTCAGAACCTGTTTAGGTCGTACTCTACTACCAGGTTATCTGTAACAGGATTTTCAACATCTCTCCTGCCTAACCCTTGTTAGTTTTATTATGCACACAGAAAACCTGTTATTAAAAGCATTCCTCTATACTTCTGCATGCTTCAAACCCAGAAGGCAATTAAAACAGGAATCAGTGAATTAATTTTGCCCTATGAGACATTAGTAATTTTTAGTAGAGAGCATTACACAAGTCACTAGGAACTAGAATTAACCAGGCTAAGAATACATTTTAACATAAACATGTTCCTTCACTGGCTTAGAATCTTCTTCTGGAAAGAAAAAGTAGTTTTTCTCATTCTGTATTATTTAGGTTTTATGGGAATGGCGAGCCTGTCTTCATGGATTAAATAGATAACACAATTTTGTATGAGGCACTTCTTTCCAATTCTCAAAAACATCTCACTATTCATTCTTTGTTTTTCTCTTACTTGGGTTATGTGTCCCCTCATACATAACTGAAACAGGAGTTGGGGTGTTGAGTGTGTATATACATATACATGTGGAAGAGATGATGCAAAAGAGATGATGAATTTTCTCCCTCTTGCTGAATTAGATCAAAGATTAGAAAGAAACCTTGCTTATATAACCAAACTACTTAGCAAAACAGTTTAGCTCAACACAAAAAATGTAACTGGATATCTAGGAGTGGTATGACAGGATTGTTTGCTTTTATGGATTTTAGGAATTAAGAGCAGCAGCTAGTGAAGTTCTAGGAACAGCTAATGCTTGGCGGGGCGGGGGGAAGAAAAAAAAGGAAAAAACCCTGAGTCAGTTCTATTTTACATGGAATTAACCACCACAATATGAACAAAGACGACTGCTGAGTACTTTGATACTGAATTAACTCTCTAACATTTCAAAACAAAATCTCCTGTGGGAACATAGATAATCCTGTAATGTGAAGTTACAGATAGCAGTGGTACTTTGAATTACACCTGCAACTTAAATCCCAAATTATTTTTCAAAGTTTTTTGGTAAAACCCTCTGAATTTGTAAGAGACTGGGGATGAATATTTCGCAAGTCTTTCTTATTAGCTGCTTGCCTGAGCTGTACAGACTGGTTATTTTCAACCCATAGTACCTGAAATACGAAAGGAATTATACTAAGTGCGTATGTTCACTGCAGCATTAGAAAGATAATGCAGGATCTACTATTCATTAAAGCAATTTCTCAATAAGGGCTAACAGCTCCTTGATCTTAAATTGCACTGAGAATTTAGAGAATTATTCATAAAGCTAGAAGCATTTTTCTACCCTCCCTGGAACCAGTTAGCTCTTAGGTAGATAATTTTTGTTTTGTTTTACAAGTCTTTAATATTTGTCTTACCACATGTGCATCTTTTCGTAAGAATGAAATTGCATTGGTTATCAGTGGCCTTGTTTTTTTTTAATCAAGGATCTTGATTTATTTTGGATGGACATTTCTCATGAATGACCAGATACCAGGAGTCCATGTCCCCTAGATGTATTAAAACACTTGAGAAGTAGAGGATTAATCTCTTTTCAGGCTCAGTATTTCATTTTCACCATATGCCAGATTGCTTGGGTCAGAGGTGTAGGACCCAGAAACTTCTCCAAAACCAGGAACTGCTAAGCCACACCAGGTTCCTAATGTTACATGTTCCAAACTTCGCTTGCTTCTCTTGTTGCAAATTATTCCCACCAATTTATCGCTTCAAAGTATGTTGCACTTCACTAGAAGTCTCTCTCATAGTTTCAAATGGAAATCGCACAGGGCTAATTATTGTATATACGGTATTTTTAAGAAGCACCCAGACATGAGCAAATGAGAAGTTGCCTCAGTGGGAGAAGAATAAGAATGAAGGGGGAGTTGTGGGTGGAAAACAAGACTCAAGAAGTGTCAGCAATGGGTTACATCAACTTACAAGTGCTAGCGGTGCCCTTCCGACATGCATGAAGGGCTCATTTCAAAGTTGTGTTAAAAACAAAAATGACAAAAAAAACCCCAAAGCTCACCCAATTTTGCTTATGCTGCAACAGTGTTACTCATGCAATTTCTGGCACTTCAAAGGTTGGGTTTTTTGTCTTTTTTTAAAAAAAAAAAAAGAAACAAGAACCAAAACCGCTTTCTAAATTGTATAACTTACATGGCATGATGTGCTTTGACCTGAGTTCGACAGTTGCGCCCCCAGTAGCAATCAGGACGTGATGTGACAGTCACTACAAAAAGAGCAAATGAAATGCTACATTTATTACAGAAGTCATTAAATAGGGTCATGCCGATTATCAAGCCACTGCTAATGGTGGTTACTCATCAGAGCAAGCTTTGTAGAGAAACAACACATGACTGGCAAGAAACGACTGTAAACTATATTGGTTCACCTTTCTAGAAACAAAGCAAACACTTACTGAAGGACAAAAAATTCATTCTGAATATTAGGCTCACGCAGACTTATGATGAAAGGATTTGGTTCTCAGTGCTGTCAACTGAAATTTTACCATTTAGTTTAATAGAGATGGAGACTTTACAGTTTAAGACACTGGGCATATGTCTAGATACATTTCCATACAAAAAAAAAAAATTATTAATTTGGGTCGAGTTTGTTGTTTTTGCCTTTCTTTTACATACATTATAACCCAGCTGTCCAGCAGGTCGTTACACCAAAATGAAAAGCAATACTAAGGAGAAACAAGCTAGACTGACTGACTGTCATCGTGCACAGCAGCAGAAGCAGAGTTCTCAACAGTTAAAGACAGGGAAGCTGTTGCTAACAACAGGAACTAGATGGTCAAAAGTAACATTTAAAAGTAGACTGTTGGAAGAGCTTCTGTACCCAACAGATTTAGGATTGAAGGAGGCACAGTTGCTTGCATGCTATTTTATACTAAAACTGTAAATGCAAACAGATTTAGAATTGACTTATGAAAACATTCCCGTTCCTAGTTGAGAGCTGGTAAAATGTGAAATTGTGCAGGAGGTGCATCATTTTATGTACTGAAATGGGAAAATAAACTAAATCACAACAACTAGTTCCTGTTGACTATATTCTGGATTTTACTGAATTCCTTTTTTCACTATGCAGATATATTTATTCTACCGATGAGAAATCATACTGAAAGAAAAGATTCCATTAGGGAGTCTAACAATAACTATATGCAAACTTAGCAGCTGACAAGTAAAGCAATTAGCATAAGATATTAGTCCTGCAAAGAGATTTGCACTGGGCTACATGAAGGTGCTGAAAAAGCAAGGATACAAGGATAAAACTGACTTTAACTCTTTAAATGACTTTTCCCCCCCGGTACTGTGCAAAGCAATCCCCACCTGGCAATTCAGCAACAGGAATATTCTGCCTGTACTGGTAGGCAAGTTCTCGAAAGCTCCGAAGGCCACAACAGTAGCAAAGCACTGTGTTCCCAGTAATTCTATAATCTGGGGAGAAAACCAGTTTTACATAATGTGAGTGTAAGGCTTGAGAAATCAGATTTAACAAAAATGTCATGATGGCACTGGTTATGTACACAGAACTTCAAACCTCTCGATAATATTACTGAGTTATATATAGACTAAGAGTTATACATGTACAAAAATGAGCATAACACATACCTGACAACATAAAAACTCCTCTTTGAAGAGCTAAGAGACTTTCGTTTAACATATTTTTCCATGTCAAACCCCTGGATGCCAGGTAATCCTGAAAAGAGCCATTTAGTGTTTAATCTAGACAAATCTCCAACATTTAAGAGTGACTAAGCCATTTACCCTCAAGTATTTCAAAATCTAGATCTAAATAGGTTTTCAAAATGGGTTGATGCTGATTACAAGTAAAAATTAAATATCTTACTTAATTAGCATGATACTTTCAGATCACCCAAAAAGTCTTCCACTCAGTATCTTTTTTTCCAGAAGATCCTCACTTTTGCCAAAAGAACGCAAACAGATTCATTTCAGTCACACTCTCATTTACCTTAAATCAAGATTTCATCCAGTTTACCTAATTTAGATAACCCCATTATGGTATGGGCAAAATATTTTCCGTGCAACCTAGTGTGAAATTTAACTTGTCTGGGAAAAAATATTTAACAAGCCTTGTTTTCCTGGTATATTTTTAGTGAATTATTTTTCTCTTAATTAATATTTTGGATGTTACACTTTAGACTGTAGAAACTGGCTTCCCTAACAAATACTTCATACAAGTAAAATTCTTTTATGATTTAACAACCTGAACATATCTGAATTCTACAGTGTGTCTATCAGTCATTTAAACTCAAATTCAGAAGTTATGTCTAGAATTTTGGCCTTCTTGGCACCTGTCAGACATACACGTTGGAGAAATTAAACATCAGGATTGCATGAAAGTGATTTTGTTGTTGTTGTTGTTAATTTGGGTGGTACAGGAAGAGCTGATGCTAAATGGAATGCATCTCTAGAATACGATCCTTCTTACACAGAGACTGAAAGAGCCAAATTATCACCCCAATCTAGACACAGTAACTATAACTTTGGTCCAGCTGAATGTTCGGGGCTCATTAAATTTGCCTTTTAGAATCAGGTGCTGCAAGTGACACAATGCTGCCACTGTAACCGCTAGGCAGCACATCACTATCATTTCATGAGTGAGGTCATCTTAAACTTTGTACATTTATTATTATGCATCATACATAATGATTTTTAAACATACCTTTAGGATATCTGACTCGTAGTGGTTGTTATTTAGGACTCCATCTAAACACTTATCACCAAGATTTATTTCTAATCAGAACAAGAAGAAGAAAAGTTACTATTTCTTCCCCCAACCCTATGGCCCTCACACATTTTCTGAAGGTTCTTCTGTTTCCTGAAATAACGTGCACAGACTCATGTGAGCACCAAGAAAATGACTGCATTCAACATATGCTAAAGCATGTGATATATCACTTCCAGTGGCAAAGACAAGACATTTAGATTTTACAATTTCACCTTTAGTCCACAAACACTGCTAATCTGCACAAATTAACAGTGCTATTGAAGTATATGCCATTAGCTTCAAACTGCAGCCAAGTCATTTCAACTGTTCTAATTTATTTTTTAAAAAAATGTCTAAAACCTTGAGTTTCAGAAGTCTGCATGTTTAAGAGGGTAAGGTTGTTTTCTAATCAGTTAACATCAGATGTTCAGTGCTCTTGCATTGATTTGTGTGATTCTCTTACCAGGCTGAAATACACCATAATTCTTTTTATACAGGAAAGCATTGTGCTCAACAGTGTAGTTTTCAAGACCAATATGGTGTGAAGACAAGAAGTTAAATCCTCTCCAAGTTAAGACACATACCACTCAATAATTTTTTATGTGTGTGATACAAGGACACAGCCTTTGTTTCCTTTTGCACGACTGTGCTACAAACTAATCTATTATATTTCTTAAATTACCTAAAGTTCAAGACAGACAGACATTATTGCAAAGTGAGCAGGCTCATAAGAAACAGATTATTCCACAATACCACAGAATGGTGCCAAACAGCCAAAACATGCCATCCGAGTGCAGCCCCAGTATAAGTGACAGAAGGGTTGCAGACAAACTGTACCTGCAAAAATAACAAAAAAAACCCCTGTAAGGACCTGCACACAACAAAACTCAACAGTTACTGTTCTTACAAATCAATAACAATATTGTTCAATAACAATAGAGCCCTGATAAACTTGGTTAAAAAAGGTACAACTTTCTCATTTAAAATACATTCTGTAGAGGAATAATCAATTTTATAAAGGAAGATTCTTTCATGCCGTCACTACAAGAGTCCAGGTAAAGAATATTCAAATAAAGAACATTCTTCAAAGTAAACTTAAGTTTAATTAAAAGTAAGGAGAGATTTACTTCTGTAGCCAAGATTAAAAAAAAAAAAAAAGTACACACATTGCTGAGGAGCAACATGAGGATTCTGTTCACGCTCTGCTCTTCGGTCAGGCATTGGCTGAAAGCAGCAGGTACATATTACATGACTTCCTTGAGCAGGACACACATATTCCTGGACAGCTAGATGAGTTAAAAACAGAAAAAAAAGGATAGACTGAACACAACTGCAATCTGGACTAGGAATCTTAGTGAATATTAGCAACATAAAAATCTGAAAGTAACAAGCAAGCAGTATAATTTTTACAAAGATTCTATAAAAGAGCAGAATAATGGCATTCAGACTTCTAAACTACGTAGGTGTGTAAAATATTTCAATATGTAGAACAGTTTAAGAACTACCAACCATCAGCAATCTATTTTGGACAACCACAGAAAAACCATGGTCAAATCTCATGATATTTGCAAAGACACCTATGTGAAGCGGTGTTACTCTCGCAGTACTATGAGAGTGAGCTTGCTTAGTTCATAACGGGTGTATGAGTTGTAGTATTTTAGTATCACACTACTGAGAAGATTTCATGACACTGACCTGCAGGGAAGTTGGCAGATGTAGATGGCGCATCTCCCAGTGCTTGCATTCCTCCTGCTTCTGTCTCTTGGCCTGTGCCAGGCAGAGTTGGAACAGAGTGTCTTCGATACCCTGGGCACTGTCTGCATACTATATATGGTTGACTGAAAGAATAAAATAAGGTCATAGGAAATCACACCCAACAAACGCAAATATAACTCATATTCCTATGCTAGACAGGGTTGGTCATACTTTCAAAGTTTAAATTTGGAATTTCTTCATCCAGTAACATATGGAAATTTACATAACTCAGTACCTCACAGCTGTGAAGACTGCTGTAGTTTTAACAGATAAAAACTTTGTATTTTGTAGTATTCCCCAAGTAGTTTAAAAAAAAAAAAAAAAAAAGAGGAAAAAAAGAGCAGTGTGACTGGAAGCGAGATAAACAAGAAAGAAAGGAACAAAGCTGGAATAATTATCTACATGAAGACTTCTTCTGTTCCCCTCTAGACTCACAGCAAAAAATGTTTGCTGTTGGAAATAAAAAGGAGATATTTTGGTGCCTAGGAATGCCTAGGTCAAGCATCAGCTGCTTCAGTACCATACACCTGGTGAAAGCAGCATTCCAGACACGTAAGAAACACACAATCATTGCAGCTGCACTCACATGGTCATGGACTGCTTTATCTCCTGACAAGACCTTAGCCAGAAACCTATTTTCTCTAAAGCAACAGCCAATTTGTAAATGGAAAAAGGTAATTTCATATATCTCACATGAAGCTGTTGCACAATTCAGGATAAAACTGTTGGTCATAAATCTTGCTGGACTTCTAGGAAGTTCTAATTTTAATTATTTTTTGTTGACTGCTCAAGGTTCGGTAGGATGGCCAGTAGAATTGCCAAGATAATTACTGGTAAGAATGGACTTACCTGAAAACAAAAATAAGATCCATTCTGGCAATGATCGTGGAAACACTATCAGCAATAACAGCACTTGTGAAACTAGCTCAGTTTGTGGGTTTGTGCATTCAAACATAAGTAAATCTAATTCAGCGTGCAACTTAAATAGACATACCTGATATCTGAAGATTCACTATCTACATCTGACAATTCCAATAAATCTTCAGAACTTCCCTCCTCGTCCGAAAAAGATCTCCTCACCTTAGGTTGCAACATGTCTTGAGTAATTTTGTTTCTAGCATCCATGCTACGTACATCATCTTCATTACGACATTTATCTGGCATGAGAACCAAATTCAAATTTCAAGAGAAAAGAACACCTCACATCCCTTATCCCCACCCTACTTTATTAACACAGCTACGATTATTGTGTTTTCACTTCCATAAAACTTACTTTTGGATAACAGAGTTCTAGAAAATCTTAGTTAAATTCCCCTTTCTGTTAATGGAAGTGTAGTATCAGGCAACTGAAGGTTTTTTTTCAAGAGGCCATGATCAAAGTTAATTAAATCCATATTCAAGTATATTTTTCAGAAGTATCTGAGTTTAGGTGGCCTAATCAGTCAATGTGCCCTACTTGATAAAACTGATATCCTTCTCATGATTAAGTAGCAAAATAAAATTAAGAATTCTTAGCATACTCAGTTATAGTATTAAATTGCCTTCAATTCTCACCCAGTATTTGAAATACTACAACAAGTTATCATGCCATAGTAAATGCACTTGTTTTCTTACAGCCATGTCAGAGAAAACAGCAGAGCAATAAAACATATATAGAAATTTAATAGATATCAGTTTGTGCATACATCAATCGCGCAGCTAATGAGTGAAATACATCAGATTCTGTTCCACATGCTGTTCAACTTACCTGGATGCTGAATCAGATAAGCTTCAACCAAGTTGTTCAATATGTGATTTTTACAAATACGTTCTACTGGACAACGACAAGTTGGACATAGAGAAGATCTTTCCATCCATCCTGAGTAGCAGGCAGCACAAAAAGTATGCATACAAGGCTGCAAGCTGAAAAACATAAACATGAAAACAATGAAAGAAATGGAGTCAAAATGCAAATCTTTCATTTTTCAGATACATTCATGACACTCAAAAAACTGTTTAGCATTGATTTGACTATATAGATTCGGGGCAGGGTGGGGGGGAAGGGGACTCAGAAGGGCTTGTGAAAACCCTAAATATCCTGGCCTCCTCAAACAGTTGTCACTGAACTACTCATATTATTACCACATGATTACAGCTTTTGTCAATCATACATACCTTACACAGTCATGCAGCAGTTCTTGGCAGATAATGCAAGTTAATGTTTCTTCCATCTTATCCGGTTTCACATTTGATGTTTTTGCATCTTCAGAGCCAATTTTAATTATACATTCACTTGGAGCTGCTGGTGAAAGATTTGGACAAGCATCTTCATCTACAAAGAGAGAAGATTCCACAGTATGTAGTTTTTGAAGCTTTTTAAAATTTATTTTTATTTGTGTTAAAAAAAAAAAGACCTGAAAGATATACACTGATTCATTGTTCACTGGCAATGGTCCCACTACAGTTTCTTGCTTTACACATAACAGCTTCTGCTACCAAAGCCATTATTTTCACTGGACCAGAAATCAAGTCAATAAGAAGCAAGAAACAAACTGAAGAAGGACTGATGACAGCTGACCTGACTCAATTCGGGGGAGGGCGGCGGGGCAGGGAGCAAAGTGAGAGGGGAGTTTTGCTCTTCTTATTTAATACAATACTAAAATATAAAATAACACTGTGAGGAGGGGAAAAAAGTTACCTATCCCATACTAACATAACCTTTCAAGACCTTCTAGGCTTGATATGCATGCATTTTGAATTTATTTCATGTTAATAAAGAAAAATAAGCACAGATCCTTATGCTTCTGTTAATCTCACTGGGCTTCTATGAAAAATGGACATAGCTTTAAGTTTCTAATTAAGTTTTTTACACTAACTTTCAGCAATAACATTAAAATAAAAGAGTGCAGGGTAGGTTGCGCAATACTGTAGTATACTAGCCTCCTTTTAGTTTCTTCTTAGCAGGTTCCAAACCTTCCTCCTCCCCTGTCTTTTCAGAATCTGATTCTGCTTTTTCTTTGTCAGTGACTTCTGAAGTGATTGCAGAAGTTTCAGTATTCATATCCAGCTTTTCATGTTCGTCATGCAGTGCTCTTAGACACACAGATTCTAAGATGGGGAAAGCAGGCACAGGAGTGAAAACTGAGGATTGTGATCCTGCAAAATAAAGAAAGAAACATGAACATAGCTGCTTACAAATATGGGACATGTGAAAACAAAAGGTACTCAAACACTGATGATGCACACACGTCAATCCAAACTCCTGAATAGGAAAAAGTGGAGCAAAAAAGCAATGTCTGCGTAACTATACTAAATGCATTCTGAGCCAATTTGACTAATTGGAAGACCTGGGGGGAAAACAAGCTATTAGTTGTGTAATCCTACTTAAAGTCCCCATTCCTCTTTAAAATGTAGAGTATTTATTCATAAGACTATTATCCACACCAGGTCTTCCTGACAAAGATGCCAGGCAGAGGATTTATGCAATACTGATCATATGTAACAGGTCAGGATCAGAGCGGAAGGCAGAGCTTTGTTTTCATAGAAGCATGTTTAAAAAGTCCCAATGAACTGTTGACAAACGCCATTTTCTAGATAGCTGTTCTTGCTCCAGTTCTATTTTAAGAGTTACACAGCATTGTGGTATTACACTTGCCAATATAACGCAAGATACTAGACTAGGGATCCATGTGGTATATTTTGGCCTTAGAGCTCTAAGCTAGGGAAAGGGGACTGGTGATTAGCAGCAGTAACAGTGACAATTAGAGTAGTTTCTTGGAGTGACTGCATGAGCACGAGCACTCATATCTACTTACTTTGTTATATGAGCCACATAGATTTGCTAAGTTTTCACCAGTGCTCCACTACAAAACCATACTGTAAAGAGAGAACAGTTTGGGATTTACATGCATTTTCTGTCCCTGTGAGCATAAGCAATTCTCACAACTGCCCTACTCATCCACCAGGATTTACCCTGCCTACTCATAGAGAGAAAGTTAAAATGCACATATCCACCTGGTATTTTCACTAGAACTTCGCAAAGCAAATGCTGAAGAGCCAGATAGGGGTAAGAGATTAATCTGTTAAAATTCAAAACTGGAGTAACAGTTGATGGGATATCAAACTTTAAATACTTGACACAATTCTTACCAGATGTAGAAGGATTATCCTATAAGAGAGGTAGAAGAAGCATTAAAGAGGTTAGATGTAGAAGTAGATGGCTGTGGTTCCTCATAACAAGACTGAGTAGCTGACGGTGATGAGGTAATTTGGGTCTCATCATTACTTCTTCCTGTACTTGAGGTATCTTTGGTCACATGGCATTGGTTTTCTACATTAACTTCTACAGTTGGAAGGGGGGAAAGGAAAGAAAAAGATCTGTGTGACAGTCACCACATCATGGCTTCAAAATTCCAAGGAATCAAACTCTCTCAAGAGGATTGCATTAGTCATTGGAGCTTAGCTCCTCTTCATGGATCTTGTATTACTTCCTTACCTACTGGTTCTTGAGTTGCATCGTGTTTTGTGTTTAAGGATTCATAAAGATAAGCAACATCTGAAAGACATTAAAAAATATTGATCAGAATCTTTAAACAAAAATTCACTAACCTTAATCTCACAGAAACAACTTCTATTCACAAGTGGCTGCTTCCCCAAAGTGTCTGACAACGGAAGAGGCAAATGAGGGGTCTCCTCTATAGTACAATGTTAATACTCCTACTTAGGAGGCAATTAGGAACAGCACAGCAAGATCTTTTCTTCTCAGGAAACCAGGCAGAGCAGCTTTTGTGTGACGTTTAACTTGTGCCAGCCATGGAACCAGAGGCTTAATCATTTTTTAAACCTAAGCTCTGCTTTGTGTCAGAACAAACTGTATTTTTACTGATACTTGAATGAAAGTTCTTCGAAGCAGCTTATTATTTCTGAGCTCACTTCTCAACTTCTTCAATCAATTTTATTTCATTTCTTTGTGAGATACATGAACTCTCAAAAATACAAATTAACACATGCCATAAGTTTCATCCAGAAACTAATTTAGTATCTATTAATAAAACTACCTGGATAATATCCCTTTCTTCTCCATCTTACTTCAATCTAATACAGTTCCAAAGATTCCTCTAATTTACTACTTTTTTTCATCTCCAGCCACCTAGAAGCAAATAAGACTCTCTTAGTTTGTAGCAACCCTTTTTCTGATCAAAATTTAGAGTATTGTCTCCTTCAGAACGACTCAGAACGGCCAAGTAGGCATGCCAAATCTAAATTCTCTCTCTGTCTTTGAAGATGGAGAAACTGAAAAAGCAAAACTGGAGGCTTGGTAATTCAAATACTTATTAACCCAAACAGAAATCAGTGATTCAGTTCATTACAAAGTACCTGGAGAATTCATGTAAGTGAGTTCTTCCAAGTAGCATCAACTGCAATAGTGCCACCTTAGAAAGGATTTGTGGGATAAACAAGCCATACAGACAGACAAATATAGCTTATCGCTGCTTGTTGTAACATTTACATCAGACAGCATAAATCCGACCGATCTGTCTGTATATAAGTTAACAGCAACTTCATAAAGAGAGTATTTCAGTAGCGAATATGTATGTATCTAGAATTTTTTAGATTAACAGTTCATGTCTATTACTGTATGAAAATTGTAAATACAGTCCTGTGTTTTACATTAAATATCATGCTGTAAGTGTATCTAATACTCTACCCTCCCATCTCCCAGTACATCCAATTATCTTCACAATAATAGGGGAGCTTATGACCATACAAGTCTGTTCACCTTAAAGTTCCACTTCAGAGCTATAAAATACAGTAATGAGAATTAACATTTAAAATGCCTCTTTCATCTAAAGTCTTTTCCAGAAAAGTGTGTCCTCTCTACTAAAATTTAAATATTACATACTTCACACTTAAAAGAAGAATTGCGTGCGAATGGACAGAGCAGTCGGCTGGGGCACAACAATACGTATGTAAAAACTCCTCCCCCCCCTTATCAAAGTTGAACCCCATCTGTTATTTTGTAGTAATGAGCAATTAAATTCTTTCTGTAAATCTTTTCAGTCAGTCTTGGGTTTAATGATCCTGTATAACTGAATGAAATGAAATGGTATGAAATGAAAATTCTGCTGCAGCAATAGTTATCATTTCCCAAATCATTTATGAACATCTTTAAGACAGATAACAACACAGATCATTCGTGAAATCTTTTATTAATTTTGTTCCATTGCAAAAACTGAGCATTTACACCTAACCCTTGGTCCCTGACTTCTACCCAGTTAACACATGAAAGAACATTACTTCCTGCCCAACAATAGCTTGGCTTATTTAAAAACCTTTGAGGAAGGACAGCCTTTTTTTTTTTTTAAAAAAAAACTTAACTATGTTATTTCAATTGCATCATCCTGAAAAGAATTCCTGAAAAGAATTATAGGCATGTGAGGGATGATTTTCTTTAAGACCACACAAATACTTTTCCAGGTTTACTAATTCTACTTCACTATAGGGCTTTCCCCACCTCCCCCCCCCATTTTGCCTCTTCCCTCTTTAAAAAAAAACAACACAAAACAAAACGCTTTTGCAGCCTCTCCTTCTGGTGCCAAAAATTGCTTCAATGTGATATACAAAGTATCACTAGCTACCCCACCACTTTGACTTCTAAAAGAAGCATTGGGCATGTGATCTGGACCTCATTAGTTACCATTCCATGCATTAGTTCTTCCAAAACTACTTCTAGGCACATTTCAATTTCAGGCAGTTGCTCAGACTTGTCCCTGTAAAAATTGGCACATCCACGACCTCTTCTATAGACACTGGTTTCTAAACATTAGCAAATTATTTGTCTTAAAACTCAGTAATTCTGTTTTAATTGTACTAATATTTCTTTTCTCTCATGACTCAAAAAAATGACTAAGCATGCCATTTAAAAAATATCATTTACTTACTGTTCTCTGGCTCATTTTTTCTGTAAACAACATAGATCACATCCCCAGTCTGTAAAGGGTATGTCTGCTTCTTAACCACTTTCAGTTTATTAATTACTGTTCCATTAGTACTGTAAAGAGAAAGAAAAGATAATTTAGCATAATTTTTTTCATAATTACATAGGAGAAAGAAGGGAAAACACAAGATACTTTTAATGAAGAAAAACTACTGGCTGTCAAAAAAAAGTAAGCCAAGATAAAAAAAAAAGTCCAGAAACAAATAAAAAATTTCTCCTAAAGACAGAAGTGCAGAGCTACTAGGACTTCAAAGCTCATTTGCAGCTACTGGTAAAGAGATGGTAGCTGACAAACAGATAGACAGATGAAAGATTCCTGATATTTGGCCAATGTCTCAAAATAATTAGATGATTGTTTCTGTACAATAATCTCCACCCTTTAAGTATAAAACAGGAAAGGACAATACGCGTTCTATTCAAAAAATTCTAGGTTATGTTTTCCAATTAACACTGGGAATCTCCTAAGACATTCTGTGACAACAGAACTTTTCCTGCACAGTCAGAGATGCCATACGGCATTAATTTTTCTCCCCTCTTGCTTCAAGTAGTAAAAAACCTACTATTCCAACGTTACTTAGACTGTTTGCAACTCAAAAGTGAGAAGTTAGTAAGGTGGGAAAACAGTTATGCATAATTAAAAGATGAGTTGGAATGAATTATTTTGATATTGATAAAATTATTTTGATATTGATAATTTCTTCTCATGAAGAAATTAAATTGGGGAAGAGGAAAATGCAGAGCATTGCTGATTAATGTAAGTATCTCCTTTACTATGGGTGATGTTTTATACACAAGCTATTAGTGTTTTATAACCAAGTTATTAATGTACTGAATAATTCCAGCTCAGTTGCAATAAGCGTCTTTCAGCGCTGCAGCATTCTAGAATTTCAGACTTCTGCCATTCAAAATCTCAGCAATTAGTACCAAATATAAATGAACAGAAAATCTGCTTTTTCCCCACAGCAGAGCAAGCTGCTGCATGAAATAACAGCAAACCTCTGCTGCCACCTCCTGGAGGCCACCACTTGTGCCCAGGACACAACACAGCCTTCCTCAAACAGACCAGTTTCTCTCTAGAGGGGAGTGATGGTTATTTAGAAATAAGCACCTTCCCTTCTCATTATTTTTCTTTTAAAAAGCAACCTGGAAAAATCTCTTGATATTTAGTAACATGAACAGAGAAAGAAAACTAGAACTTTGTACTATTGACTTTTTTTGGACACAAAGTCAAAAGCATTACATTAAAAAGTCAAAAGGAAAAGCAAGCCCTTCTGAATCACTACAGCAAGTCTTGATCAAGGTATCAGTTCTTGCTCTTACCTCTGCAACTGCTTTCACTATCTACATGGTTGAATCAATTACTCCAACATAAACAACAAGATACAAAAAAATAAAAATGCTACTTTAAACATCAAGAAACAAACAAACAAAAAATCTTTGGGTCACATCGATATTTGTTCTATGAAAGAATCTTCAAGCGTCTCCTATAAGCAAGAAAACTATTTTAAGCTTGCCTTTTTACCTCCAGCATACAGATGTTGATAGCCTGAAAGACATAAGCACCAAAGAACCAGCACAACAGAGACATCGCTAAAAGAATGCCGAAGTTTAGCAATTTAGAGGAAAAAAGAATTTTAGTCAGTCTGTCAGAAACTATACTCATTTTTAACTTAACGTTGATGCTAGTGATAATATATTAAAAAGATTATGTTGAAGCAAAAATTGCATCTCCTTCAATTGCCAAAGAAAGAGTAAAGCTTACATCAATCCCTGAAACTTGTAAGAGTTCCTTTAACAAAACTAGGAAACATCAAATTTGACCTCCTTAGTTTTCCAGAAGGCAAAACAAAGCACGCATCTCCCATCTGCCGTAAGTGTTTTAGACCTTCTTTTGTAATAAAACAGCTAAACTCCAGTGACAAGAATTGTCTCTTTCTGAGGTTTAGCTTCTACAGGCAGTTCCTAGTCCCAATATTTCACTAAACATAGGGAAAAAATGTCACAACAACATATTTTATGAAGTTGCTCTGTCATGACTGCCAAGTTCCAAGATGGTTATGAGGGACAATAACTCAAGTGAGGTATTACTAGAAAAAGAAAGGGGAAAAAAAAAAAAAAAAAAAATCATCACACATGTAGTAACCACTTGTGCTATGTCTCACAAGGTAAGCTGCAGAAATAGCTACCCAAGACCCTAATTGTCAAATTGACTACAAATAGCCAAATCTTTTCAGTTCTGCACAGTTATACAGACTTCAGTGAGAGCTGACTAACGAATTATTTGGCATCCATGGACCCAAATGAAGTAGGAATAAACTGATACCACTTAATACAGAAAACCATAAACTTTTCTTAAATACGTTAGCAAACTGAAGTAGTTGTATTTCTATCTCAGCCAATAATCAAAGGGAAAAAAAATATCCAACCATCCAGATAATTATATTAGTCTTTCATTTCCAGTTTCAGGCTTTAGCATGAGGCATTTAACAGATATGGTGACACATCAGATTAATGTTGTGGGTATTTTTTAACCAGACACACATGATAAATTATGACATTTGTACATTCCTCTGATGTTTCAAATTAAAGTAAGGTCCCCATAAAATAAGTAGAAAGTACAATGAGAATCCCAAATATGAAGGCCATTCACTTAATATTGAATTGATACCAACTGGCCATATAATTTTTGAGATGGAGAAGAAAAATGGTACTATCAGATACAAATTGTCTGCGTTGTGAAACAATGTCACAAAAGGTCCCAATGTCACTTTTCTGAAGAGTGGAAGAAAAAAAAGTCAGGCCTTGACTCAATTCCAATGTGGTCGATGATTCTACAGTTTGATTAATGAACCATACATTACCTTTACTTCCCAATCCCAACTGTTGTGCAGAATTGATGTGAACAGTTACAATTCACCCAAAACAGGCTTACTTTTGAAGTAGGTGAATGATCTATGTGTTGTAAGACACTTTGGTATCCTTCCAAGAAAAATGCCAGTCTGTTACTTTTTAGTAATTACTAGCGTCCATCCAGGAAAAGAATGTAATTTATGGTAAAGCTTCTGGATTAATAGTTTTAATAGCTATCTGCTATTTAAATGCATATTATCCTGAACACACTGTAAGCTGAAATGAGTTTTGAATTCTATTAAGTTACAGAATCCCTTCTGTACTGTCTCATTCTCCATTCTTTTAATGTTCACAGAGATGGTTTTGACTGGTAGGGTGAGGAGAATTTAGTAACAGAAAGGACACCAGCGCCAACTGAAGATCAACCTCTGATTTACGCACAGAAAGGGAATATCTGCTTGCCTGTCACGTAAGTATCAGCCTTGTGTAAATAGTTTCCTGCTCTGAAACATCACTTAGAATCCTTAAAAAAAAATTTCCTAGAAGACAACAAGGGGAGGTCTTTAAAAAAAGTTACCTTCGTTGCCTTTAAAATTTCATTTTCAAAATGGAGACTCTTACAATTGCTTTTACTTAGGGCAAGCCAAATACTGCCTTCACTGTGTTAGGTCAGCTTGTATAATTTGTTTTCTTTCAAGCGGTATAAAGCAACTAGTGCATGGTTTGGAAAATAAAGCAGAAACATACCCCAAAAAAGGGCGAGTCTGTGAATATTTTATTGTACTATTTGCTAACTCTTGGCTTTTGTTACTTCCAAACGTCTATTTACCCAATAATTTTGAGTTCTCTACACATTTTCTTTCACCTGCAAATTTATGGTAATTTTTTCCAAAGTAGATCCAAGAACTCATTACGCTACCAAGGAGATAAAAACCAATGTTGGCTGTCTACATATATTTGATGATATTCTTTGATTTAGCTACAATACAGAAACAAAGTCCACTCAGCTCAACTGTCCCACACTAGCTGCCTCCTTCAATGCATTCCTCTTCACCAGAAAAATCTGAGCTTGACCACAGCAATGTTTCCAAACTATTTTCCACTTCAGAGAAGAAAAAGCTGACATTGCAGTATTTTTCTGGGACTCTGGGCATCTGTATTGCCAACTCAAACATTCAGAGATCTTCTTCTTTCAGCCTGCTTGATTTTTTGGAGCTCATCTGATATTTGGCACAAACGTTGGAAGACCCAGAAGAACAGATAGGCTTCTGTTAGTAGTCATATCAACCCGTTTAGTCTCTTGATTCAGCAAATGGTAGCCACACTTCATACCAACTCACAGGCAAGCAGAACACATAAAGGATCCTATTCTTTTTTGTTAGATACATAGAAGTGTAACACGTATAAGCAGCTAATTGGCAGTACTCCATAGGTGCAATCTTTTTATTATACTACCATTGTAACAAGCCCCACCTTTTCATGAATATATTATATAGAAAATTAACTTTAATTTGGCTTTGCTAGTTTTCTGCTGGCTGCACTTTCTGCCTCAGGGCAGGCAGGGTGTGTGTAGGGGAAAAAAAAAAAAAGAAAAGGCAGGAATGTTTCTGCATCATTCACAATTTCTTTACTTTGTATTACCATGACACTGGTCTAAACGAATTCTACCAGCTACATGCAGCTGACTCTAGGGACGGTTTCTCAAGCTTAGATTTACAGCCATGCTCTAAGACTGCCACGATAGGCAAACATGGCCTGATTTGTTCTTTGAAATGTCTTGAAATTTGGGATAACACTGGAGAATGACAATTATAAGCTATTTCCTAGACATCCTAGCTAGGCCTGATATTTTTCCCTAAAAATTTAGCATTCCATCCCACAGCTTCTGGGAGTATAAGTCCTCCAGGGATCTATCCTGGTTATTTTCTCTAGCTACAACCTATAAGTGGAGAGGAAATACACCCTCATCGAGCTTGCAGGTGACACCAAAGCAGGGGCAGAGCTGGGCTGCTGTTCAGAGGCAGCTAGGCAGGCTAGAGGATTGGGCTGATGGGAATGTCACGACATTCAACAAGGACAAACCCTAAGTCCTCCACCTGGGACGGAATAACCACCTGCAACAGTACAGGCTAGAGACCAACAAGTGACGGTTCTTGGTGGATCTTATGATTAAGCATAAGATCATACACCTTGGACTTATGCCCAGGCTTAAGTCAGCAGCGTGCCCTGGCAGTGATGAAGGCCTACAGCACACTTGGCTGTATTAACAGGGGTGTAGTCAGAAACTCAACTGTAGTTACTGCTATTCCCCTTTACTTGGAACTCATTAGTCCACCTCTAAAATACTACATCTAGTTTTGGGTCATCTAGTACAAGGAAGGTCTTGATAAACTCGAGCAGGTCCAGCAGATAGCCGCCGACATGGCCAGAGGGCTGGAGCACAAGACCTATGAGCTAAGGGGCTAGGGGAGCTGGGCTTGTTTTGCCTGGGAGAAGGCAGCGTGGTGAGCAGGGAACCTAATAGCAGCCTTCCAGGACCTATGAGGAAGTTACCAAGAAGTCAGAGACAGGTTCTTTACTGAGGTGACAAAGGTCATAAATTGAAACAAGGAAGATGCAAACAGATGCAAGGGGAAAAAAAAAAAAAAAAAAAAATCACTGTGAGGATAATTAAGGTCTGGAATAAGGGCCCCAAGAGGCTACAGAATCTCTGTCATTGGAGGTTTTCAAGACCTGACTTGAGAAAGCCTAAGCAATCTAGACCAAATCCAGTGGTGGCCCATCTTTGACAGAGTTTGAACTAAGTCACCTCCTGAGGTCTCTTCCAATCTGAATAATTCTGTATGTTCTGTTTTACTTGAGGAAATAAAATAAAAATAAATGCATAGCCCATGTAAATATCTGGAAGTGAGTGCCTCACACTGAAAAAGACTCCTTTTAATATCAACATAGCTACTGATTATCAAGAGACAGAAAAGGAACAGAGATGCAAAAATTCTGCTGAAAGAAAAACATCAACTAAAGCTCATACATTCTGCCAGCGCCACCCAAAAAGGTGCATGCCATTCAATTAGACAGTTCAAAGGTTTTTCAGCATGTTCTTGGAGGAATTTTTGTCAAAAGCTTAGCAGGTATTTGATACTAACCCTGAGCTACCAGAACAATATATTTAATTGCATTCTGGTATATCGGAACAGGGATTCAGCATGATACCCTTCAAGACCTCAAACGTCAAAATTCCTCTTTATGTATGTACATCAATATATTTTGAAATGTCTTCTTCATCTTTGGGTAAAATGCCTTCCAGACAAGAAAAATGGGGGGAGCTCGCAGAAAAGTATTATTTGTTTCTTTACTGACTGCAATAACCTGGCAGAAAAAGAACGTGGTTTACAGAAGCATTTTAAAATGTCACAGAGTTCTTGCAATGTAATAAACCAGAAGCTTTCGGCAATCTTAGACAAAAAATCCTGTCAAAAATGAAGCACATGAAAATTTGAAGAGGGTTACAATCTCCTCCTAAGAAATACCCTTCCATTCAAATTCCTATCTCAAATTTTATAAAGGAAACTAGAAAACAAACTAAAATCCATTGGAACCCACAACCCCTGCAGTGCTATTTGTACTCCCACAGTAGCCTTAGAACTCTACAGGAAATAGCCTCACCAGTATAGCAAGTTCACTGGCCTTCAGTATGTGAAGAAGTATGTAATTAACGTTATATACTAAAAGTAGTTCCACTAAATTAGTTTAGCTTTTTAACAGTAGTTCCAGTGAAGTATGTGCTTATATCTTTCTACATTAAGGGCTTTAGTTCTCACACCCCTAACTTAACACAGAAACACCCAGAAAATAAAATAATCTGGTTAAACAAAAGAAACAAAACTGAAATATCAATAGTAGAAATCTAACAAACGTCTTTTATTATTAAATTAGATTGAATAGGCTCTAATCCCCATCTGACATGCCCACCACAACTGGTACTGTTGTACTTATGCTATATAGACTATGGATATTTTGAATACCAGAAAGATGTATAACAAGTACAAATTTTTATTCCACATCTATTTTATGCTTTGAGATCATCACTGCAGGTATTTTCTTCCCTGCGCCTGAAATGAGGCACACTCATGCTTAGAACTTTTAAGAATGCTGGCATCACTTTTTTCACAAGACCAAAGAAATATGCTACAGAACTATTACATCAACAGTATTTTTCATCCAGTAGACTATGAATTCCTTTGCAGAGGAAAAAAATACTTAGAAAGAGCCAAAAAAACCCAAACATACATGTAAAAGCAGGAGAAAAAAAGAAACAAAAAAGAGAAGGGTTTACTATTGATGCCTTGAGCAATACATAATATTTTACTTCATAGACTATAAAGAAGATAAAAGTTCACAGAAGAACCAACCTTGTATCTTCCAATGACACTTGACCAGATTCTTCATCCACTATGATTTTACAGTGATCTCCAGACACCAACTTGTTGCCAGGGAAAGATAAGTCACAACCTTAAAAAGCAAGCAGATTTTCCAGTGTGCTTAAAAATACACATTGCACAGACAGATCAGCATTCTACATGGCTATAAATGCACAACAAACTGACTCGTGTACATCTGCAATAGTTCAGAACTTCTACTGGCATATAGGCAGCAACACAGTCTAGTATGCGATACATAAATACAAGCGGTGAGATAGCCCCATGTGCTGATACAAGCTTATTTCAACCATTTCAAGATGTTTTAGTTCCCTTTTTTCCACTTAATCCTAGCCCTTCCGGATGGAAATAAAATCACAATTACTCTGTTCTAGAGTGGTAGAGAGATAAATTCACACATATTTGAAGTGTTCAATCTAAATTCTAGAGGCACATACCAGAGAGCACCCAGCTCTTTTTCCACATCATTGTAACACTGTTTCATTGCACTTAAGTTCTGCTTCATTCTGGTGTACTGGGGGGAAGTAGTTGGAACCAACAGCTAATAAATAAAAGACTATCACTGTTCTATGTTAAAGAGTTTTTCTTTTGTTTGTTTTTAAATTGGAAAATTTTCCTCATCTCTGTTGACAGCACTATTACATTAATAAAGCTGAAGGGAGATTAAAAATCCAGGACTAAGATTTAGGGATATGCAGAAGTGTAATGACAATGTTGACATGATAGAAACGTTCCTACTTATGACTCTAGGGCTCTGAGCAAATCTAGTATTTTTACTTCACTTTAACATTGAATGTTCGAGGCAATGCTCAAGGTTCCCCACTAATCTCTCTCACAAATGACTCAAAGTACCGGCTTACACAAAAGTTATAATTAACAAACATGATTCACTTCCACCTATTCACACTGTGGGTGCACTGCATCTCAGCCTGCAAAAACAACTTATCAATAAGGAAAGTAGTAGCCACTACACATGCTGGTGACAGTTTATTGCCAGTCTACTCCTAATATTCAAGGAACAATCAACAGCTAGAGAGTTAACTGTTGCCACACAACTTGTGATGCTAGGAAGCCCACTGAAAGTGAGTAAGACTAAATTTTATTCAGGAGCATGCCAACATTTCCATTCTCTTCTACAGAGTTAGACTTTCATATGGGAGCAGGAAGGACAAAATGCTCTAAACAAGCCTTTCTAATGTTCCTGAAGATTTTTTAAGTAATACTCATAACCCAAAGCTTGGTATTCTTGTAACCACTCATTTTACTAATCCATTAGCAAAGTTATGGAAGCAACAGAACACGCAAAAATTCACCTTTTTTTCTGCAAGATAACCCTCAACTAGACCTCAATTTGAAGAATTTACCTACAGCTTAGATAACGATAAGCAATCTAGATGTATATTACCAAACGTAAATAGGCAAAACATTTTTCCTACAATACATTATCTGAATTTCTCATAGAGCTATAGCATCTGATGTTTGTTCAAGACTATTTACAGAATGTGACTGGCCAGTCAAATAGCTTGAACTGATGAACAGGAAACTAAAAACTACTGCTGTCAGGGTAGAGTGAAAAAATTAAAACACTGCAATGATTGTTTTAAATACAGTAAGCATTAAATCCTTTAAAATAAAGGCAAGTAGTTAAAGCCCTAGACTCTGGGAATAAAGCTTTCAAATCCACTCTCAGAGAAACTTTCAGTACTTGTTGGCAATCTTTATACGGCCAGAAGAATTAAGGGCTTTTATGTGGGCGTTTTCTTTTCTGTGAAGCACAAGCATTTTGCATTGCAGTTCCAACTTATTTTAACCACAGAAACAAAATGAGAACGTAAACAGGACTGATACACAGAAACTCTTCTGAATCTACAATCATTTCTTCTTATTTGTTCAAACTGTCACAGACAACCTAAAAGGCATATTCACTTTTAAACGTGCACGTGTCACAAGTTGGTAAAAAAAGAAAAGGTCAGTGTAAAACTTCCTCTTCACACAGAGCCAAGAGGTAAATTAGGAATAAGGGACCGCCTGGCAAGCACCTCCAACAGCTGAAAGCACCAAACCCAACTAGTTTCAGTCCACCTTCCAACGTTTTAAAGGCCGGGAGGGGGGATCGCAGCTGTCCCCCGAACACCGCCCCACGCCAGCGCAGCGTGTCCCTGTCCCACCTTTCTTCCGACCAATTGTCCATTCCCTTTTCAGCAGCAAGACGTGCCGCTGCGTCATCAGCCCCCAGCCGGATCAGCTTCCCCCAGGGCTGCTGCTGCTGCTGGCTCTGCTCGCCTCCTTCCGAGTGCTCCATTTGGATTCACATCTGACAAAAACAAACAAAGCGAACCCAAACCCCACCATCACACAGCACCCGGGG